AAAGAGACTGACAGAGGCCTGTCTGCAGAATTCAATGTAAGAGATTTTGGGGTTTTTTAAGTCTGAACCCTGTAGATTTAAGCTCTGATGTGCCTGTTTGTGGCGTCTTTGCAGTTTCCTCTCGGTGTGACCAGCCACACACTGAAGTGGGAGGGAGTGTGGCGGGAGCTGGGCTGCCTGGCACGTAGCGCCTCCTTCGCAGTACGAGAGGAAAGTGGCCACTCGCTGAAATCTGCCCTTTCGGTAACTCCAGAAAACTGTTTCTTTTAACCAATAAGGCTAACAAACAAAAGTGAAGGGAAATCTTAAGCTTTAAGTAGTTTTCTGTTCAGTTAAATCCCTATTGGTTTTATTGCAGCACTCTATGTCCATCGACTCGAGGAATTCTGCTATCTTTCCAAACAGAGGTGCCTTGCTTCGCATCAACCAGGTCTGTATGTAAAATGTGTGTTGCCATGTGTGATGGTATATTAAAAATCATGTTATTTGGATGTAAACATGAGTTAGAAGAGATTTTGAGGAACATCATGTCTTCTTAAGTGAGTAATATTTATTGCCTTTGATGCACTCCTGTTTTGAACAGTGAGTGTGTATTTGCATCAGGGGTGTATTCTGTCAATACACAACATCTGCTATGACTTGACCGTCTGGGAACTAAATATGAGTTCTTTTCACGTGATCAAGTAATTATAAGCTGACTTGATCAAAAAGTAGGTTAGGGTGTAAGCTTTAGTTTCCAGCATTTGTCGTGTAGAGGTGAGTGAGTCTTTGTCACTTCACACAGCCTAGCAGAGCTTTAGCATCAATCATCAAATTGTGGCCTATTTCCCTCCTTTTCCATTTTCACACCTCCAATTTTAAGCTAGCTTCCGTTCCAGTTGCTATTCTGATTTTTCTTAGCAGCTAGCTCACACCTGCATTTTATTGAAGCTTTGCCTTCTGAAAAATGGGACTTTTTCAGCTCATAGATGGATTTGTGTTCTTGCAAAGGGAATTCTCAGAGCTGTTGGTTTTAATTTGTGAAACGAAACCACTCATAAAATCCAGGAAATGGCAACATCCAGAAAATTAAGCTAGCTAGGTTTTTGCTAGCTAGCTTTAGAGTTTCTTAAAGGTAGATGAAAAATACTCCCTGTATTAAAAATGTTGTCTCTAATGTTCCTTTGGTTTGTCTCGCTAACATGACCAGCATAATTCTAATTCTCTGTCTGTTTTCGCCCGGCAGGAGCTGGCTGGATACACCGGGGGAGACGCCAGCTTTTTGAAAGAGGACTTTGAGCTTCAGCTAAACCAAAAGCTTTTCTGGGATTCTGTACGAAGGAAATTACCAATTTTGCAACTTTACATTATAAATCAGACTTATTGGTCTAATTTGATGTTTTACTTTGTCAAGCTAACCACTAGAGGGCAGCAAAGCTTTGTTCTTTATTCCTGAATGTGTTTTTCAGCAGAATTAAAAATAACTACAATTCGTGTCCTGTCAGGTTTTGTCTGCCTCTCTGTGGGGAGGAATGCTTTATCCCATCAGAGGACAGCCGACCTGCATCGCTGACAGGTATACCAGTTGTTAAAATCGAATCAATTTGAGAGCAGTTTGAATTATTTTTTGTTTTCAGATTATTCAGTTAGTAATCAGACTTTTTTGTTTTGGGTGCTGAATATATGCAGCTGTTCAAGCTGACATGTTTTATGAAAACATTGTGGCCTGCCGGCTTTTGTCCAGGTTCTACCTTGGCGGTCCCACCAGTGTCCGGGGTTTTGGGATGTACAGCATAGGGCCACAGAGTGAAGGTAAACCGAACAGGGCCTGATACGACTGGTGGAATTTAGGTTTAAACAGAATTCCGATGTGTTGCGTTTGTGCGCTTTGGGTTTCAGGTGACTATCTGGGAGGGGAGGCGTACTGGGCAGGCGGTTTGCACCTCTACACCCCTCTACCATTCAGGCCTGGCAAGGGAGGCTTCGGTGACCTTTTCAGAACGCACTTTTTTCTCAACGCAGGCAACCTGTGCAACCTTAACTATGGTGGGTGGAAAGATGACGGACTCAGCTTCTACTTTGCTCAGATAATGAATTTGTTCCAAGTCTTTTGTGTCCGTTTTTTATCTCTCCCATTTCCTGGGCCTCTAATCTCAACAATGAGCTCCATCTAACGAGAGAGAGACTCACTTTGTTACCATGAAACCTTTCACATTTGTTTCCGTCTGTTACTGCTGATCAACACAGTTAGGAGCTTTGTCAGTATATTTAAGTTCCAGCAGAGCTGACACTTCACCGTCGATCACCCATGTCTCAGTTAGGAACAACCATCTGAACACTGCTGAACAATCCCACTACAGGTTACATCTGCATGTATACAGGCACCAGTAGTCACCTCACTGTTGCCAACTTTGCAACTTTGTTGCCATATTTGATGACTTTTCAGTAAAAAAAAAAAATCGTAATTGATCAAAATCGGAATTGTCAGTCAGAAACCTGATCGGTGCACCGCTAGACCAGACTTAATAATTCATACTCTCTAGAGTATGAATTATTATTCTTCCACTTCACAATTCTGAACTAAGCTTAGTGCAAGGCGGTGAGGCTGGTCTCTCTCTAGAGTACATGTGAGGAAGATTTGCTTGTGCTGTGCAGTGACATGGTCTCTGTGTCCCGTGCAGGCGAAGGCCCCCAGGCTCACCTCCAGAGGCTGGCCGAATGCATCCGCTGGTCGTACGGGGCTGGCATCGTGCTGCGGCTCGGGAACATCGCCCGGCTGGAGCTGAACTACTGCGTACCAATGGGAGTTCAGAGTGGAGACAGGTGAGCGAATGACCCGTGCAGTAGCTGCTCCTGTTGTCCTGTTTCTGATGAAACATCACAGAACATTTTTCCTCTCTTTCTCCTAGGATATGCGACGGCGTCCAGTTCGGAGCAGGAATTCGCTTCCTGTGATTTTTCGCTGCATCCGCCCCTCACCTCCACCCCCACCTGTCTTGCAGAGTTTGATGTGAATAGAGAGAGCGCCTTTGTCATGTTGCGCCTGTAACTTGTTTGAGAGTGTAAAAACAGTAGCATGGGCTCACACTGTGGAAAAATAAGCCACGCCCCCCTCTGTGCCATGGTTTCCTGTGTCCACAAGCGGCTGCTGGAAACAACCAGCACCATGCAACGTCAACTCAGTCAAAAGTAAAACGGGGGACATAAATCATGTTGTGTTTTGCTTGGTAATTTGCACCTCTGGTATTTTGTGTTCCGTTTGGTGAGGTAAAAGTTTCTGGCAAATATTAAATAGATTGTTGGCAGGTTGCCTCGTTGGTTTCTGACTCAGGACTACAGTTTGTAGAGAACCTGGAGAAAATCAGCTCCGATTTCTTCACAACAATGTAGGTCAGACACGGAAGATGAGAATTGGAATGTCACCATAGCAACATTCACCAGGAGTGTTTTTTTTTCTCCCCCACTTCTCTTTTTGATGTCAAAATGTTAATCAATAAATCCTAGCATCTCCCTTGAATTATTTCTGCTGTCTTCAGTTTGCTGGTAGAAGAGTCTGACTGCGGCGTGAACATCTGGATATACAACAACCTGATCTTCCCTGTTAGAGGCACTGAAGCTAACAATTTGAATCGATGCCCAATATTCCAAATGCTGTCATGGATGATAATCTACAAATTTTTTTCCATCTTTATTTATGGATTTTGACATACAGGCTCAACAGATATAAGTGGTATTAAAAAAAATACAAGTCAGCACAATTCAAGCCATTGATTAAAAAACAACAGCTTATAACCAATTCTTATGTCAACAGAAATGGAACAAAAAAACAAGAAAAAAAAGCTTTTCATTTACTGTTGTGTAATTTTTCTTCAAGGAATTAAAGCAGTTGATTGAAGGTTGCCATATCTGAAAAAACTTGTCAATTTTCCCTCTGAGCCTAAAATTGTTTTTGTTTCATTTTTTTTTAAAAAAAAGCTTGATTTACTTCAATCAGAGCTTTTCAAGTCGGTCAAATTCTGATGTAAAGGCAACAACATCCATCCACTGAGGTTTATGGTGAAAAATAAACAATATTTACTGATATAAACACCTGACATTGCTCCTCTACTACCTTTACAGAGGCAGCATGAGTTATTTTCCAGGCACATTTTAATAACACAATCAACTCCTTCAGTGAAGCAGTGAATGATGATGCAGGCGGGGTTCTGCCTCTGCCAGGTTTCAGCTGATCGCTCTGACCTTTGCTCCTCAGGAACCTGTGCAGGGCAGTCGAGTTCAGATGGTGCCGGATGGGATTCAGTTCTGTGTGGGAGTTCTGCAGGTGAACTGTCCAAAAGCCCGAGAGCCCGGTCTGTACAGTACAAAACGGAAAGGCCAAACACTTCTGTTTTTACTTCTTATGATTTTTTTTTCTCTCAGATCATAAAACAAAATGTTGACTTCAAGGATAACTTGAGTAAATACAAGCAGCAGTTTTCAAACGAGGATGCTTCTTAAAAGAAAACAGTTTTCCAATTGTTGGTATGAACTCATCCACCTCCTTTGCTTTTGCCGCTCCTCTTTGATGCTGCACATCCCATAATAAGAAATCCAGGCAGAGCGACGCTGCAGTCAGAATTGGTTTGAACTTCCTCCTCTTTCTGCTCTGCATCCATGAAGCCTTTCCAACTCCTCTGCCGTCTGGGGTCACAGTTCACATATTGTTTGAGCTTTTGTGATGCGAATCAACTATAGTTGTATAAAAATAAAATAAAATAAAAACTGTCCAAAAGTAAAAATCCTCCCTTTGGACAGCATCCAAAACCAGAGGGAATAACTGCCTCTGATCTCTGGCAGAGAATCCAGACGAAGGAGTGGCCTAGTTAAAGCTCTGATTTAATCTGACTGTTGTAGTTACTCAGATAAAGAGCTGAGCTGAGCTGAGCTGAGCCGCATCCCCGGCATTGAACTCGCAGCGTGATCGCGCACGTACAGTACGTGCCGTGCCGTGTCGCCCAGCGGCCGCCGTGGCGGGTATGAACCGGCTGCGTCAAGCCCGCATCACGACGACAGACAGACAGACAGTAACTGCCTCCAACCAACCCGCTCTGCGCTCTCATCACACACAGACATGCGCGCGCGCGCGCGCACTGACGCACACACACACACATAAAGAGGTGGCGGCGGCGCTCAGAGCTCCAGAGCGGGCTGGAACGGATCCCTCATATTCCCTTCATACTTCCATCTATTTTTATGTACAGTAACTCCGCCATCATGCTGTGGACAGCGACTCAAGTCTTAAGGAAATTCTCCACCTCCTCCGTGAGTAACAGCGACCTTCCGGCTCGGATCCCGGCTGACTGTCACTCTGCTGTGTTTTGGTGATGTGAGCGGCTCAGTGACGGCTCTGCGGCGTGACACTTTGCCACGTTGTTTCCTTAAGTGTCACGTCGCCGATCTTCACCTGAGCCAGACGGAGGGAGCTGGATGAACCGCGCTCTGCGGCGTCACAACACGATCAACGGATTAGTAACGCGGCTGCAGGCAGGACTGGCGGGTCTCAGTCGCCTCTGCAGCCTCACAGTTTGCTACTTTAACCAGTTGGTCAGAAGCCGTCTTGCTTCTATAGTTGCTTTGAATGCGTCATGAAGCGGTGCAGAAACGTCATGTAACAGCAGAGCGCGTTTGATGAGTCCATGTATGAGAGGGAGCTTGGGAACCTGACACTGTTCCCACATGTGCAGCTCCTGTCACACGCGTGGGGCCCCCAGGCGTGAACGTGAACTTGAACTCTCTGGACCCCTCAGCCACAGAACTGATCTGAGAGCGTCATCAGTGGCGCTTTAGTTGGATATTCCTGAATTATGGGATCATTTCCAGGCCTTTTACTGGTTACTAAGACAGTATTTCACCCAGAGGGAAAAGTTGCTGCAGAACAGAAAAACACCTGCAAGATCCTCAACTTTACACAGATGTGTTAGTTCCCACAAGTTTGTAAACGTAACTTCTTTACTCTTACCTTCCAGATACATGATATTGGATTTTTAGTCAGTATTTGATAATGCCAATATACTAAAACTCATTTGCCATTATCAATATTCTTTTCTTACTGAAACTATATTCTATTGTGGAATTAAAATACTGCATTATCTTTGTCAATTTGTGGATGTGGAAACTATCCGCACATCTTTGAAAACTTTCCACAAGCGCATGGAGTGTGTCTTTTCTTGTGTAAAGTTTCAGTGGCCAGATCTTGTGAAGTTGATGTTGGTGAAAAAGATTTGTAAAGTGTGTGTGTAAATTGTTTGCAGAAATCTCTTTGCAGTCTGTAGGTTTACACACACAGACTGTAACCTCTGAACTAAACTCTGGACAGATGGGTTGATAGTTCCCACAGCTATACATAGCTAAGTGTGGGGACAGTTCCCACATATTCACAAACTTTTTCATGTGTTGGGACTTTTCCCAAACATTTATAAGCTTCACACAAGTGTGCAAACTACACCCATATTTTTGCAAACAGGTGTGTGAACCATACACACACACACACACACACACACACACACACACACACACACACACACACACACACACACACACATTGGGGAACAGTTCACAGTGCTGAATAGAATAGAACATGTGAGGACAGTTCAACCAATTGTTCCTCATGTGAGGCTGTTAAAGGGTGTGCATAAAGTGGGAACTGTTCCCACTTAGTTGGAACATACCCACCTAAGTTCAGAAATTAATAATCAATGAGCAATGAGCAACAAGTGCCGTGTAAGAGTGTAAACACTGCATGTAACTGTTGAGAGTATAAGAAAAGGTCTTTTAAAGCTTTGGAGGCTCCTTAACCTAACAGATTGTGTTGTTCTCTTTCCAGCATTACTACCAGAATAAGCTAAAACTGGCCATTATTGGTCAGAGTCTGTTTGGCCAAGAGGTTTACAGTAACCTGAGGAAGCAGGGTCACAAGGTTGTGGGTGTGTTCACAGTTCCTGACAAAGATGGCAAGGCCGACCCCCTGGGTGAGTTAATCGTTTAACAGCTGCTCTTTTTCCGTGTTGTCACTTTATGCACGTCGTTGCTGTTTGACGTTGACGCAATTTAAAGTTAACGTGAATGTTGTAAATATTGTGTTTCACAATGTGGAAAAAAATAATTGTATTGTGGATATGCTCATTTCAGGCAACAATATTTGCTCCCTTACATATTTCTCTTTTATACTGGACAAAAATAATCAAAAAACGACACAGAATGCAGTTTTCAAGTGACATTTCTATTCTTTAAGAAAAAGCAGCTGTATGAGGTTGGCCCTCTGCTGTACCGTTTCGTTCTTTTTGATTGGCTCACCAGGTCCAACTTTCTGTTCATACTTTCAGGGTTTTGTTTTTTTCTCTCTCTCTTTTTTGGGACACTAGGAAACTGAGGGTATTTAACTCTCTCTCTTTTTTCTCCACAGAAAATCAAAGCACTTGAAAAATAAAATAATTCTTTTGAACCCTCATTTTGCCTGTGTCCTCAAATATGTTGTGCCCTTATTGGATGTAACACTTTAGACAAGGGGGGGCAGTATTACTCTGTTTTTCCTTAAAAATATGTTTTTAGAAACATGATTTCAAAAACGGGAGCTATGAAAAATAACATTTGGTAGATTTTTAGACTTGATAAGTCTTGTGAAAACTTTATCAAGATAGTTTGTTGTGGATCTCAGGCTGTGGGTCAGCAGGGGCCGGTGCTGTGGCTGAGGTAGATGTGTGTTGACTGCACTGTGCTCTGGGACAAAGACATGTCTTTATCCCGTGTTAGCTGAGGCAGAGTGACTCCATTGTCTGTGCTGGAAGAGGCACAGAGATGAAAACCAATGAATTGTTTCCAGGGAGCTGCAGACTTCTAGATCTTATATTTGATTCAGGTTAAAATATATCCCAGAAGGATCTGAGTAGAGTTGGAATGCAGTTCATATCAAAACGGCAGCTCTGGGAAGGTTTTCTGACATCCTGCTAAGAAACTTGAGCAGAAACTTTCCACAAACTCACAAGTTCAATGAATGCAAGAATTGTGCAGTTGATACCAAAGAAGGTCCTATGTTAACATGTAACTTGGTCTGTTAAGATGTTTTTGATTGAAATAGCTTTTGATTTTAGTACATGTGACCACTTGATGCTGCACATTCAAAGAATGACCATTTGCAGTTCTTTATAATCCATAAAATGTTTAGAAAATCTGCTGTGCATAATAATTTGGAACAGTGCATTTTGAGTTTTTTACTTTTGAAAAAAATACTGTTCTTATGGGGAGCTTTGTTCAGTAAAATTTGATTTCTGCTGTAATAGTTCATGACTTGAAAATGATACTGACCATTTAAGAAAATCTGAGAAAATATCACTTGCATAATAATTTGGGACATGATGTAAAGTATAACAAACTTGTTTATGGTGGCTGAGGTGCTGCTTCCTGCCAGGTTTGTCACAGTTTATTGTACTTGTGTGAACCTGGATAGAGCAGGCAGATCTGGTTCTAAGTGGTATTAAAGCTTATCTAAATTGTATTGAACTGGCTGAAACTGCTGCTTACTCTTTATGAAGAGCAATAAACCATATCTGTTTCCTCTTGCTGGAATCTTTTGAAACCTTTCCAAACATACCAATGGTGTCTAACCAGGAAGGTTACAAGCAGTCAAAATGGCCGTCCTCCATTGTGTGGTCAGGCTCAGCCCTATAGACAGATCCAGAACCTCCATCATCCAAGGGACATTGTAGAGAAGTGGAGTAAAGCCACTGACAATTTGTATTAAAATAACCAAACTACATTCTCAGCAATTTTTATGAAAAATAGTATGTTTTACGTGTTAATCTGAAAGAACCCTTTAAAGTAACAAAAAATCTCATTAAAACTTCTAAACGTAGAATAAATGAGTGAAAGTTGTGAGTCTGATTCCCTCAGTGCTGGTCTGTCTAACCTGCAGTTCTCACATCTCCTTCTCACTGTCAGCTGTGGCAGCGGAGAAGGACGGGACGCCCGTGTTTAAATTTCCGAGGTGGCGCGTCAAAGGGAAGCCCATCCCAGACGTGGTGGACGCGTACAAATCGGTGGGCGCAGAGCTCAACGTCATGCCCTTCTGCTCCCAGTTCATCCCCATGAACGTAATCGACCATCCCCAGTACGGCTCCATCATCTACCACCCGTCCATCTTACCGCTGCACAGAGGAGCTTCTGCCATCAACTGGTGAGAAAGAAAATCCATAACCACTGGTTCATAAAGTACCATTCAAAAATATTCACTCTCATTGAACTGTTTGACATTTTCAATATATTTTATTGGGATTGTATGTAACACAACAACAACAGCAAAAACTATTTTCAGCATGAATTTAAATACAGCATTAAAAGGGCAGTATTATGCAAAATTGAATTTTGCAAACCTTACAACATGTTATAATGTTATTATCTCCTGTGCAAAATGCTTGGGTGGACCTAGCTCCGCCTTCGAGGCGCAGCTCTTCCTCAGAGCTGCAGCATCCAAGCCAGTGTTATAGTATTTTTACAACAACTGAAGGCTTCGTTACTGACTTGTGGTAGGAAATATCTCTATATGCCTGGAAAACACATGATACTGTCCCTTTAAGGTTTTTGAGACTGTGAGTCTCCTGCCTGTTGAAATTGTCTAAATAACATGGTGGCTTTTCAAATCCCTGATAAATCTCTGCATGTCTCCAGGACTCTTATTCACGGTGACAAAAAAGCTGGCTTCAGCGTGTTCTGGGCCGACGACGGCCTGGACACGGGCCCCATCCTGCTGCAGAGGGAATGCAGTGTGGAGCCCAATGACACGGTGGACACGCTGTACAACCGCTTCCTCTTCCCAGAGGGCATCAAAGCCATGGTAACCAGCCGGAATGTCAGCACAACCCCTTTTACCTAGATATGCCACCAACTGTCCCTTGTGTCAGGTGGAGGCGGTGCAGCTCATCGCTGATGGAAAAGCCCCTCGAATCCCCCAGACAGAGGAAGGAGCAAGTTATGAAGGCATCCAGAAGAAATCCAACTCCAGGGTGAGAGCAAACTGTAGTGTTAGAGTTATCTACGACATGCTGCCACTGTCTGAAGAAGATCCAGCACTCCAAAGACAAATTAGTGGTTGTCATTTTCCATCAAACACTAAAGCCAGCTCAAGTTTTACATCCTGCATTCCAGCTTTAACTCCCAGAGTGAACAGCATTTATCAGGTTCAAGCTGTTGGCCGGCTGCTAAGAGTAAAACAGCCCGATTCAGAGTCATGTGGGCAGAAACACGGCTCACAGTGAGAGCAGCTCCTGACTGGTTCATTCTAGTTTTTTCTATTGGTGGAGCTGATCTTAACCGCTTTCTGCTTGCTCTGCTGGCTCTGCTGGTTGTTTGTCCCACCGTTCTATTCTCGGCCCAGCCGTTGGCCTTCACCTGTCGTTCCTCCGAGCTGTCCCCAGGGGGCAGCACTGGGATGTTTTGGCTCCCTCCTCACACACTCACACAGGTCCCCCCTTCTGAAAATAAAGTGAGCTCTCAGCAGTTCTGACTCCAGCCTCTCCCCGTGTCTCCCAGGTGGACTGGGCCCAGCCAGCTGAGGCCATCCACAACTGGATCCGTGGCCATGACAAAGTCCCCGGAGCTTGGACCGTCATCGATGGTCAGGTGAGTTTACCGGTACTTGTGCAATGAAAAACAACAACAACAACAACAACAAAAAAGACCAGAGCAGATGGTATATAAACCCTGAGGGACATTTTGTTGTTTGGTCAGTGTGTCTCACACTAGTATACGCAACCTTTGGAGTTTATCCACATTTTCTCACATTACAATCACAACAGTTGTTCTGTTTTACTGAGGCTTTATTGGACAGATTAAGGCTGTTCAAAGTGTGGGCCTAGGCAGTTTCATGCGGCCCCTGCTGCATTTAAAAGAATGGTAAGCTACACTCTAGACCAAATACACTGAAAAAAGTCTTAAAACAGTGGGAAATTGTCTGACTTTAATTAAGACAGCCAGATAAAAAAGTTCATGATAAAATAATTTGTTGGAGAAACAATATGGCCCCGGAGTACTTTCACCTTTGGGACTCTGGCTCACATTTCAAAAAGTTTAGACACCCCTGAAGGCAAAATCAATCCTCTGTTGAACCAATTTTCACTGACAACACAGCAACAACTCTGTTGGTGTAAGACTACAGGAGATTGATGTAGGTTTGGGTTTGACTTCGGTCCATTCTAAAACACGTTTGTGCTTTGATTTTAGCAACTTTATTGTAGCTGTGACTGTATTCTTAAGGTTGCTGTCCTGCTGAAAAGTGAATCTTTTCACTTTTCAGTATAACATCATCATCATCATCATCGCTATATCAGTGGGTGAAATCTTCATATCACATGGGTCTGTTTGGAGACCTGTAATTATTGGCTAATATATTCAAAGTGTCATGAGTTTGGATATTTCCAAAATGGTAAAAGTAAGAAAGTGATGGAAGAGTAAAAGGGGAACCATTGCTATATTTATCATTATTGCCGTCTCTAGAGAATTTCTACAAAAAACACACAAATCTGCTGAGATTAAATGACACGCAGAAGGACTGCTTTCTCCTGGTTGTTTTATTTAACAGTGTCAGATCACACTACACATTCCTAATTTTTATTTGTTAAAAGAATTCAACAAAAAACCCAACACAAAGTTGTGCATCAACATGTTGGTCTGCCACATAAAACCCAACGCTGAGGCTTGTTGAAAAAGACCCATGAAAAAGTTTCTTGGGTGTGAATACTTTTACAATGCAGCGATTCTGTTCAAACTGCTTATCTGCCTTTCTGCAGCCTGTGACCCTTTATGGCTCGTCCATGTTGGGGGGGTCGGTGCCTGCCGGTCAGGCCCTGGAAATCGAGGGGGCTTCCCAACCCGGCCTCGTCACCAAGTCCGGGCTGGTTCTGTACGGAACCGATGGGAACGCCGTGAGTTCTCCTTCACCACGACTAAACAAGCGTCCAGAGCAAACAGCAGCAGATACAGCCGCTTGTTCAAACAAACTCTGACGTGTCGGCGTGATTTGAACCTGTCTGTGGTCTGACCGGCAGCTCCTGGTGAAGAATCTGCAGTTTGAAGATGGAAAGATGATTCCTGCTTCCAAGTACTTCTCCTCAGGAGAAAGCTCCAGCGTGGAGCTGACCGACGACGAGAAGAAGATGGCCGAGGAAATCAGGGCAAGCGCAACACGCCATAGGATTGCCACTGTGACCTTTTGTTGCATAGACAGAAATAAAATTAAACAGTTTTTGTTGTTTACTCAAAGAACATCTGGAAGGGAATCCTCAGCAATGTGAGCGCCATCGAGGAAACAACAGATTTCTTCAAGTCCGGAGCTGCTTCCATGGACGTTGTTAGGTGAGACAGCGGGTCCAGTGTTGGGTAGGAATCTATAACATCCTATACGATAAAGAAATAAAATAAAATCCATGCAGCTGGCCCTTTAACGCCGAAACATCCAACCACTCTGACTTGTCATCCAGTTGTTGTCTGGCTGAGGCTAATCCATGTTTTCTGAACTGATTCAAAGTGATATTTAGTTTCAGGAAACAATTACAATATTGATGACAATGTGGGCTCGCCAAATTCCATGAAGCCAGAAACCTTTTATTTAAAGAAATCATTAGAACCCTCTGAATACATTCTAAGCCTCTATTTCTCGATAAAGCAGCAGCAGTGGGCCCAACATGCTGGAGTCCTGTCAGTGTTTTCTGGAGCTGTGGTTTAGACCAATGACGAGGCGTCCTTTCCGTCTGCAGGTTAGTGGAGGAGGTCAAGCAGAAGTGTGCAGGTGTTCAGCTGCAAAACGAGGACGTGTACATGGCCACCACCTTCCACGACTTCATCCAGATGTTCGTCCGCAAGCTCCGAGGGGAGGACCAGGAGGAGGAGCTGGTCGTCGACTATGTGAGTCTGATGTTCTGCCGGAAACAGAGCGACGATCTGGCCGTCAGGTGAAACCTTCATCTTTCTGTTTCCTCTTCGTCTTTGTAGGCAACCAGAGAAGTGAACAGCATGACGGTGAACATGCCGTACCAGTGCTTCATCGACGGAAAGTTTGAGGATGCAGAAAATGGCAAGAGCTACGACACCATTAATCCAACCGATGGATCTGTAAGACCACCCGTCTATGCATCTGTCCGTCCATCTGTTCATCCATCCGTATCATCCAGCTGTTTCCCCTGCAGGTGATCTGTAAGGTGTCGTATGCGTCAGTGGCAGACGTGGACCGGGCCGTGGCTGCTGCTAAGGAAGCTTTTGATTCTGGGCCATGGGGCAGGATGAACCCCAGAGACAGAGGAAGTCTGCTCTATAAGTAAGTAGCTCCTCCTAGTGGAAGCCAGAGGACCAGTTTGGCTGCAACAATCTCCTGCATTTTTTTTCTGCTCCTGCGTTTTTGTCTTACATTATTTTTCAGTTTCAGTCTCATAATTTCTACCTGTTTATGTCCACCTTCTGTTGTAATAAGTGGTGACCAAAAGCTTAAATCTCAAACCTGCTGATTTCCATCAAACACTAAAGCCAGATTACTTTTTAAGCAGAATAAACTGTATCATTTAAATAGCTTTTGTTGCGTACCAGCTCCAAATTTTAAAATGTCCTTCTGTGGTTCATCACCCACCAACATATTATGATGGTAGCTAACCTTTGACCTTTACTGCCTTTTCTCCCTTCAGGCTTGCCGACCTGATGGAGGAACACCAGGAGGAGCTGGCCACTATTGAGTCCATTGACTCAGGAGCGGTTTACACGCTCGCCCTGAAGACACACGTGGGCATGTCCATCCAGACCTTCCGCTACTTTGCAGGCTGGTGTGACAAAATCCAGGCAAGCTAACAACTGTTACGGACACGCTCCTCTGGTCTCGGCCTAGAAGAGACACTTTGATGCGCTTCTGTTTGCTGCAGGGCAAGACGATCCCCATCAACCAGGCCAGACCCAACCGGAACCTGACCTTCACCAAGAAAGAACCTCTGGGGTAGAGCCTGACCAACACTGACTCAGTTTCTGTTGTGCAGATGTATTTCACTGTGTTGAACTCTTTTCTCTATGCTAGAGTTTGTGCCATTGTTATTCCATGGAACTACCCTCTGATGATGCTGGCCTGGAAGAGCGCGGCCTGTCTGGCAGCTGGAAACACTCTGGTCCTTAAACCTGCTCAGGTGCCGACATTTCATCCTCTGTTTCAGTTTCAGAATGAATACAACATTAAATAGTCACCTGTGAGTCAGTAAGCTGCATATGCAATGGTAACCTTTGACATATGAGGACCTCTGAATGAGAAGGAGCCAAATAAAGTTTTGTATTTTGCAGGTTTACAGACTCCATTAACTGAACCTCTGCCATGTTTCCAGGTAACTCCTCTGACCGCTCTGAAGTTTGCTGAGCTTTCTGTGAAAGCCGGAATCCCAAAAGGAGTCATCAATATTCTGCCAGGCTCAGGTAAAATCAGTATTGATGCAGAAACAACAAATCAGAATGAATTATACAATGGAGTTTCACTCCGATTGGTTATCTTCTTCTCCAGGTGGCATGGTGGGTCAGAGACTCTCTGACCACCCGGACATCCGCAAGCTGGGCTTCACCGGCTCCACTCCAATCGGCAAACAAATCATGAAGAGGTAAGAGGGGAGGCTGGCTCGCTGATTTCATGAGCATGTTGCCTTCCTCACGGTTTCTCTCCGCGGTTCCTCCATGCAGCTGTGCGCTCAGTAACCTGAAGAAGGTTTCTCTGGAGCTGGGGGGGAAATCTCCCCTCATCATCTTCAGCGACTGCAACATGGACAAGGCGGTTCGCATGGTGAGAGAACATCCATCTGGAAAAGAGGCTTTTTGGTTTGGTAGTTTTTTTTTTGTTTTTTTTGTCATTAGTTCCTTTCCTTCCAACTGTTCAGAAATCGCAAACTTCAGTATTTTGTATTTTAAGATGAAGAGAAATGAGTTGGAGGAACCCTGGTGAAACGGTGATCGAAGATGAAGGCACTTTTCTGTATAAAAGGGCCATCCAAGAAAAAAATGTATAGAAAAACTTGACCTCTTTCTGAATATTTTGCTTCATGAGGTAAAATATGATATACAGTAGCCTGTTCTCTTCTGTTTCCCATTTTGAAGTCTGCTTATTGTCCTCAAGTATAACCCAAGGAAACATTGCTAATCCAAATGTCTTCGCTACTAGTAAAGTAGAAATTACAAAACGTCTTTTGCTCTCTAATTCCAAACAGAAATGAGAAGAATCATCAACAGGTTCAGTTCCATAACTCGTGTGCTTTCTGCAGGGCATGAGCTCAGTGTTTTTCAACAAAGGGGAGAACTGCATTGCTGCTGGACGCCTGTTTGTGGAGGAGTCCATCCATGATGAGTACATCAGTCGAGTGGTGAGTATACTTCATCACTGAGATGCTGTGCAGTAAAGGAACGCTTCCTTTCACACTCATCACTGTCACCAAGTTCTGCAGAGGCCGGTTAATAAACCAATCACTTCATGAAAATCCTGGTTTGAGACAGATTGGAGACCAGCCTTTGAGGACAGAGACCGGGATCCACAATCCTCCATTTGCTGAGAGGCATTCATAGACACGACCATTAGCATCACGTTCTCTTTACTTTGATCAGGTCAAGCTTCCGTCGAAGGCTGGTGTCCTGCAACTTCCAGATGATTCTGCTTCTTCAACACACCGAAATCAGATATCATGTCAATCCCAGTCATCGAGTGTCCTGCAAGTTTTAGATGTTTCCCTGGTCCAACACACTTCACTCAAATAGCTGAATCACCTTCAGTCATGTTCTCCAGAGTCCTGCTAATGACCTCGTTATGTGAGGGTCTTGCCGTAGAGACACATCTAAAAGTTGCAGGACAGGGGCCCTCAAGGTCTAGAGTTGCCCACCCCTGATGCAGGGCTTTACTGCCTCTTTTTGACTGACCAGTGTGTTATGGATCGGTGCGGTTCAGTACGCCATTTCATGGTCCAACAGCGTTTTTGAAAACTCACTGGGCAGGCGGGGTTAAACCCAAACACCTAACTCAGAGTTAGGTGTGTGTAACCAGTGTGACGAAAAATGTGACTTTCTACAGGTGTGTCTTGTTCTTGTCACAAGCAGTGACGCTTTCTGTCCTCCAATCAATGGAGTGTGACGCCACTACTGTAGCAGGGTCCAGTGGACCTACAAGTACAGATCAGTTGATTTGGCTAAACCAAACCGCGCAATAGAAACTGTTATTGTTGAAGTATTTTTAAGAACATGATATCACCAGAATTAGTACAGTCACTTCAAGTACATCCAATGACGTATGATGGCCACCCTAACAAACGAATGATTTCCTCCAAACATCAGATCCATTCTCTGACACATCCAACTATTATATTAGTTAACAGATTTTAGATGTTACCAACTTTTACCTGTTAGGGTCACATACATGTTTGTACATTCAAAAACATTTATTATGACTTACACTTCTCCGCCAGTAGAGGTCAGTGTATGAAGTGCTACTGTAGCAGCTTGTCTGTAGGTGTGTCAGTACAAGAAAGTGGCTTTCTGATACTGATTCACCATAGTGTCTATTATGTATGAAATAAACAGAACATGTGTAATTAGTTTGTTTATATTAAAGCTGATCTTTTCGTGTCTTTGAACTCTCTCAGGTAGAGGAGATCAAGAAGATGAAGATTGGAGACCCTCTGGACCGCTCCACAGACCACGGCCCCCAAAACCACAAAGCTCACCTGGACAAACTGCTGGAGTACTGTGAGACAGGAGTGAAGGAGGGAGCCACCCTGGTGTATGGAGGCAAACAAGTCGACAGGCCAGGTACAACACACATTTCACTGGCTTTCCTGATGGATCTTATACCCGAACAGACAGTTGGACAAATGAGACTTTTGGTGGCAACTTTTTTTGCAACTCGTACATAGTGTTAAGATATGATTTGGCTTTTGTTTCAAAGTTAAAACTCCTCATCCTGGATTGATGAGGAGTGGTTAAGACACGATCAAACCAGAGGTAATAGCTTAGCTGAAGTCTGCTTGTCCTTATCCTCTAGGTTTCTTCATGGAACCCACTGTGTTCACTGATGTAGAGGACCACATGTTCATTGCTAAAGAAGAGTCCTTTGGTCCTGTCATGGTCGTGTCCAAATTCAAAGATGGGTAAGTTAATGGGAGGAGGATTAATCTTCGCAATTACTGTGTGATTTGAGTTAACCGTCGTCTGACTCCTTTTGTCCGCTCCACCCAACACAGTGATGTGGATGGTGTGCTTCAGAGAGCCAATGACACAGAGTATGGCCTGGCCTCGGGCGTGTTCACGCAGGACATCAGCAAAGCCATGTATGTCAGCGAGCGACTGGAGGCTGGAACCGTGTTCGTAAACACCTACAACAAGACCGATGTTGCCTCGCCTTTTGGAGGCTTCAAGCAGTCTGGCTTCGGCAAAGACCTTGGTCAGTGAAAAAATGTGCCACTTGGCAAAACAATAAGTTAAAAAAAATGAAGTAGGCGTCATTAGCTTTTATACTTAAACAAGTCCCACTTATTCTCACAGAGACAATGGTAGAGTTGCTGAATCTATTCATAAACCTGAAGTTGAAAAAGTCCTAAAGTATTTCTGTCTTGTCCACAGGAGAGGACGCCCTCTTGGAATACCTCAAAACCAAAGCAGTGACTGTTGAGTACTGAGCCTCCAGATTTCACAATGAGCTCCAACTCACTTTCTGAAAGAAAAGGAACTCATGCATATTTTCACCTGGACTGTACCAGCAGCTACAGAGAACTCCATCGTTCTTCTGAGCCACTTGAGCTTTCTTGGAACAAAGGGAAGGTTTTTTTTGTTATTGTTGTGAACTTGCATTCGAGGTCTTACATTGATGCCACGCCACCCGTGGGAAGCAAAGCTCTGCTTGACACTGTTTGCAAAATCGAGCTTCTTCAGGGTTAAGCAATGGAGAAAAAAGAAAATACTGTGAGCTTAAAGACATCACTCCTTACAATGTTTGGCCTTTCTCAGCATCATGAACTTGTCAAGCTGCCTCCAGTTTTCCCATTGTACCGTTTCTTTGTCCTATTTCACGGTATAAAGAGCCAAAATGGAGACTATTTCCCACCCGATGGTGGCTATTCCTTGTCACAGGAGACGATATCCATTCCAAAGCTTGCTACTGAAATGAGAAGGAGAGTACTCACTTGTGCTAGCATTGGAAAGGCTACCGACTAGCATGTCCAGGGTACTCACCCATTGGATTTCCTACTCCCTCTGCTGCCATAGGCTGGCATTAACATTTGAAAAGCTAACGTCACCCTCTGGTTTAGAAACCTACCTTTCTTTCTTTTTACAGCAAAACTTTATTAATTAAAACAGTTGACATACAATATCAGTAAACGATATGCATTAGCCTCTCAGTTATGCAAAGTTCACGGGAAAATTTTTATGCCGATTTTTGGCCCAATTTCCCCCTTCTGACAATCTTAAGTACTACCTGATTAATAAGAGGTATTTCTACCATGTGTGATGTGCTAAGAGTGAATGTAGTCCATTCAGAAGGATATTCCCAACTAACTATTCAACATGTTGGATTGTGTTGGCCCGGTGTCACAAAGCTGTGTGTGGTGTTCCCTGAGAACAAACAACGGCCAACACTGTCTTAAATAACTCTGAAGAACCAAAATTAAAGAGTTACAACAACATTTAATTTTCCTTTGGGATTCGTAACATATTTGTGAATTTGAAACTAGAACTCAGCCTGTTGAATGTGACATGGAACCACTTAGAATGCAAAGCTGCAGAAACATGAGATTCTAAATAAAGTAGACAAAACCAGAAAGGCCAGTGGATGTCAGAAATGACTTGTTTGGTATAGTTTTTTTTTCCTCTTTTAAACATAATCCGTCGCCATTGATTCCTCCCAGTCAGCCATATTTGTTTACTCTGAACTCATGTTTGGTCTCAAAAGGTTTTGCGACCGACGTCTGAATGTTAAGTGAAATCAGTTCATGTGTGGTGAGTTACTCCTGCCCTGTGGTTCGACGCCAAACCTGCTGTACCTGCGACAAGGAAGTAGACACTGCTGGGTTTGGAATAGTCTTCATTTTGGTCCCAGTAACGGGGCAAAATGTCAAAGGAAGCCTTTGAGCTGTTTTATGTTATAGCAGAAACTGAACAACAATTCTTCACTCTTAGACAAAGTGAATGTTTTTATGATCCAGTGTATTTATATGCAATTTTAGTCAAATACAGCCAATTCTACATTAGGTTGAATTAAGCAAACTTGCCAGTTTGGGAAGTTCCAAGTTATTTGTCCATAGTTCTGTGAAATAAACTCTGTCTTCACAGTAGAAATGGTTCAGATCAGTATCATGATTGTGTCCCACTGAACTCACTCTCCAATGTTGTTCCTGATGCCTTCAGTTTTTCTTGACGACATATATATAGTCCAAAATTAGGTTAAATTCAGTGACTAAGAATTGTAAAATTGAAGGACTACCGTTTGACCTGCTCTGTGTGCAGCTCTCTTCTGCACCATCCAGTCTCAACTTAGCATTTAGGAAGACACAGCAGCCAGTACAGTCTCTATTTCACTGTGAATGTCATTGTAAAGCGTGAAATTTCTAGATTCATCAGTTCAACGGAATAACGACTGTGGTTATTTATGTTTTCTTTATGGCTTGTGTTGTCCCTTGACAGAATGCTGCCACGGGCAGTGAGCCATTTCCCAACTCAAACACCACCCTCTTTAAATTCTAGGGCTCAGAAGGTGAACCCAGAGTTTTATTTTCAAGCTTTAATTTTGGCTTCATCAGTTAATAACTAAAGTAATGACATTTAATACATTGTTACAGGAGCTACTTGTGTTGTTCTTGATGGCATTAGAAGTAACAAGTAGAAAGGAAGTGGCTAGTTTATCTCTAACGACTGTCACAGTTTAGTTATTTTCAAATGTCAACATTATGCTATTGATCCCTCCACAAAAATTATTTTGTCCAATTAACACAAAATACATGAAGTAAAATGAACCATAGTACGCAGTTGCCCAAAGTACCAGATGGGCAACATGCGACAGCCAGCACGATACACTCAGCCAGGCTGTTAGCCTAACCGACTGTTGGTGTTGTGTATTCTGATGGTGTGTGGATAAATGACCAACTGAGGATCCCAGTCCTGCAGCCCAATGACAAGAACCTTTAGCTACAGCAACTCTGAGCCCAGCCAGGACGGAGCGGAAAGGAGCAACTGTTACAGATCGGGTTCATCTGTGCCTTCCTCTAGTAGACCCAGACAGAGGATCAAACCAGAGCTTGTCCTGACACTTCCTGTTCTTCTGTCAACTATCCACCACAGCAAACAAGATTTTTTAATGTGGCGCCACTGGTCATCACATAAATCTCTCGTGTGCTATTCTTACCATCAAACACCATCCAGATGTAAAAACAATCCTCTTTTCCTGCCCTTTTTCAAAATTGTTTTTGACTATTTTTTTACAAAATAAAGACACTTCTAAATATGTTTCATGTTTTTTGTTGTGTAAAACTGTCCAAACACTTCACTGTATTCATCACAGTAATACCATATAGATGTTTTATCCTTTACTAATTTCAAAGTGAAGAACATTTTCTACTGTGAAAGGCAGGAAGGGAGTGTTTTCCTACTCTAAGGAAAATGTGATGCTGTCCATTGAATAAACAGTAACTCAGAGTTGGAGTGTCCCTGTGTGATTTTTGTGGTGATGTACAACTCAGAGAATCAAGTGACGCTTGGAGATTTAGTGGTTTTCAGAACCACCATGTGGACCACTGATGGAACTAATGAGTGTATGGATGTTGTTGAAGGAGGATGGCTACGACGGTATCCAACAGCAACATGCCGCCATTTAGCCTGATCCAAACCAACAATTGTTTTTCCTCCATAATGTGACTCTTGGGTTAAAATGCAGAAATAATTTTCTCATAAATCTCAACCTGACCTTGTTACAGTATCCCCCAGATTTAAAAGCAGCAGCCAGTAAAATGTCAAACTGAAACAATTAGAAAAATCAAACTTTTAATTAGAGGATATTTACCAAGTTAGGGGGAAACTGCACTTTAAGCAGAACATTGTTTACATAAAATGTGTTCCACAGAAATTGCCACTCATTTTTGTAATAGAACAGTCCTTCTCTTATAAAATCGCACAAGGTTGAAGTAAACCTTGCGCAACCAGTTGTCCATAAGGTTTACCAGTGACCAGCTTTTACACGACCTCTGCACATCCTCCATAGTCCAGGATTTCCTCTGACGTTGTCTGTCAGCTCAGAGGCTCTCTACTGGACCCTGTTCTCTGAACGGATACAGTCATGGAAGAAGCTTGATTTTGTTCCGATTTGGTGACAGTCCTCTTGAACAACTCCATGAAGACCCATCACAGATCTCTCGTCTGCCACACACTACATGACATAAAATTGCACAAAGTTGACTCCCTGGGCTTCGAGAAAAGAAACAGGCCCACAGCATGACGGCTCCTCCACCTTGCTCATCTGTGGGCCTGAGTTGTTGCGTACCATTGATTGTTGTCCCTATATGATATCGTCAAGTTTCTTGAGAGGAAGCGTCCACAATGTATGCTTTTCTCATTCATTTTTTAACTGACAGAAAAGTACAAAGTTAGGAACTTGTGGGTTTGGGCCTAAACTCGTGGAAGGACTCACTGACCATCAGTGACAGGCCAGGCTGGGTGAGGTAGTCCCATCATCTGACTCTGTTTATAAAAACTCCAGTAGAGATGATGAAAAGCTGCCACTCTGTACTCTGGAGCAATGCTCTAACCGTCCAACAGAACTCTGCAGCGCACTCTCCTACTCGCCTCCCTGCTCCAGGACCTGGATGCTGGCCTTTTTGTTCCCCCTGTCTCCGGGCAGCTTGAGGTTCCTCTCTGTGATCTCAGCGACGTCTTCCTCAGATTCTGACCCAGACGTCTCCTCCTCTTCTTCTGATTCGCTGCCCGACTCGTTCAGCTCCACCAGAGCTACATCCTGGACAGACAAGAGCACATGATCTTTATCTGAACACTAAAACAACAGAAAGTCCACAAATGTCTGCAGAACCTGACGAGTGCTTTGTCTTTGTCAAACATTATGGGGGAATTTGTATTTCTAATGTCAATGTTTTAGAAGTTTCTGATCGTTTTACTAGCTGATAACCCTCTGAAGGAGGACAGTATTTGATGTTTTACATCCAAACTTGATAACACTTTATGTGAAGGGACATGCATAAGACTGACATGACACCATCACAAACACGACATAACACCCGTTATGAACATAAAGGAGTCATGAACTGTCATTAGGTAAATAACGACACCTTTAATGCAAAGTTGCATTAAAAGTCCATTAAAATTGACCTTATTTACCCAATGACACAACATGACAACAGTCAAATATTTATGAAGACCCCTTCATGTTCATAACACATGTTATGTCATATCTATGACAGTGTCATGTGACTCTTATGCACACCCTGTGAAATAAAGTGTTACTCTTAACCCTAAACACTCTCCAGATTAAGGGTGTAGCGCACATGCATGCATGCACGCACGCACGCACGCACGCACGCACGCACACACACACACACACACACACACACACACACACACACACAGATAATGATCAGACTGAGCGACTCTCACCATCTCTATGACCCGTTCTGCTTCGTCCACGTTCTGGATGTCGAAGTGTCCTTCAGGAGCCTCCTCCATCTGCTGCTTCAGCTTCTTGTTGGCCTCAGCCATCCGAGGCAGGAAGCTCTGCAGGCGCTCTAGAACTGAAGGGCAGAAAAGGTTTGAATATAAATGTTACGGGCAAACCTAAGGCCAGATATTACAGGACGAGGTCTCACCGCTGCTCCTTGGGACCCGCTCCGTCTGCAGGGATCGGCCCGCTCCGGGCTTCAGGAGGAGCTTCTCACTGAGGCCTGGAGAAAAAACAGCAGCAGGTCAAACAGAGACAGAAGGAAGAAGATGAAACTTTAAACATGGCTTTTATCTTTTTATTTTATATTATGGTGGAAATGCTGATGTTTTTAGGTAGATTAATATTTGTAGGATTCTACTGAGAAATGAAAGCCTGTTGCAGAAAATATCCCCTCATCCCAAATGTCCAAAAGATCTTCTTTGGAGGAAGCATTAGGTTCTAAATGAGCTAAAAAATAAAATGAACATAAAATGTTAATTAATCAAGTCTGATCAGAGATTAGATAATCAATTACTGTGAGATCACAGTTCTTCCTTTTCATAACTTGAACCAAAAACAAAGATCTCCAACTGTTTGTGCTCCATAAGATCAGCAGCTGGTAAAAGCCTGATTAGTGGACCTACAGTGGAAGGCAGATGCTGATAAATTGGTCAAAATAATGTGAACACTGTAATAAATACAGGCGATTTGGCCGCTTGCTGGTCTGACGAATGCAGAATGTCAAGTTGGAAAGACATCATCAGTGAACTTAGAGAACCGATGCTGGCAGCTCATCAAAGTGGGAAGAGTTATGAGCTCATTGCTCAACTGCAGCTTGGACAGATGCAACCCAAACAGAAAGGCATCGCTTTCAGTCATTTTACCGCTGTCTTCATCAGAGGCTTCTTCAAAGACACTGCAACACAGACTGCTGCAGGAAGCTCTGTCACAACTGTAACCAATTGTCACAAGTCTTTTTGGAAAACACCAATAAGTTGAAGAGGTACAAAAGTTTATTTCTAGCCAACGTTCAGCCAGGTTTTAAGGGATTAAACAGGACAAGCTAACTGTAGTTGCTTTCGTGCAGTTTTTCCACGCACGAAAAACATGGAAAAACCGCACGAGTTCCTATTTCTATTATAATAAGGACGTTATCGAAACTATTGCTTTCAGTTAGCGCTCACCAAAACATGAGAAAACATCACCTGCTGTTTACTTATAGACACCAAATAACGCTGAGAAAAATTTCTTAAAATATGTTTTTAGAACCTGAAAAGTCCAGTAAACCGTTAGATTAGCTTCTCGCAGTAAACGGTGTATGAAGAATAGAAATATCCGTCATTGTTATTATCCAACATCCACTAATTCATTGATAGTGAAGAAAACATTCAGACCTCCGCCGTTTTCACAAGACAGTAAAGACTGGGAAATAGTTTTCTTCGTGTTTAGGTCCATGTTGGAAGGAGAGTTTAACTCGGCATGTGCAACACATGGAGCTACAATCTGGCTATGATTTCCGGACATCAACCACACGTATATTTGTTTAGCACCACCTAGTGTTCAGGAAGACCAGTGAAGCTAAAACAAATCTATAATCAAAATTTGATTTCAGGGTCTGCTTGAAAAAAAATCAAAGAAAGCCCTTATTAAGCTTCTTTATATTTAGATCAACTGTAATATTTGTGGGTTTGCTTGATTTTCTCTCAACAACGTGCATTCTGTCCTTTTCCCTGCCGTTCTACAATCCAAATAGCTGTGTGGCACTTTTTGTTTGGTCTGACTAAGAGAGATTGTGTGGTAAGAGGTATGACTCTGATCTTTTTTTACTTCACAAATTGTAGTTCTGTATCTTAAATGGCAAGCTTAAGATTCTTCTAGTGTCAACGTTTGAGAAATCTGATGTTTTAAATAATCTCTGCAGTGTAGCATTAACTTGTTTAGCTTTGACCGGTTAGGCATTTTGAAATTGAAATAAATAAATACATAATAATAAAACAGAATGTTAATATAGCATCATATTGGAAGAAGTTAAAAATTTTACATAAACTGTCGACATCCATCTGGTAAATTTGCACTCAACAAAGGAACAATATTTTTTATATATAGAATAACTGAGAGCTAAAATAAAAAGGTTTCTACAAAGACACAGTGTAGCTGAGCATATTTATATTAATGTGACCATCCTAATAAGTTTTTTTTTTGCATTTCTTAAAAACTTGTTTAGGACCCTATTGTCTCCTCATCTATATACATATCGATCAGTACTGCAGTACGTCACCTGCTCCCTACCTCACCGCTGTCTTTCTGAAGTTTATGTACCTTGTAAACACGCTCAACATCGCTTCTGCGACCGCTATGTTTCAAATGGAGTTTCCATCATCTTCCATTGACGATCTTTGTTGGCTTTTTTTCCTCTGACGCGGCTGGCTGGTTGGCTGTCACGTAAAACTGGCATCTCTCCTCCGGGTCGAAAATCCTTTTTGACGAACAGGTAATTCCTTGGAGAAAAAGAAAAACTAACAAAACTGTAGCTATTGGAATATTTTACTGATATTTTGTCGGGACAAGTCTTGTGAAGCAGCTTAGTGGTTCACGGGGAAGGTGTCGCGAGGAGCTTCCCAACTGTTTTCATTCCTGCACAGCTAGCTTACAGCTTCCCGAAAATGTTTGGCTAACAGACCACAGCTGGCAGCTTTTCCCCCACCCTTTTTAAAAGAAAGTTGCTACTAACGTGGTCAGCTAATGAATTATTTAGAGGGACTTCCGACGGCTATAACTGGTGATTTCCTTTGACATTATTGAAAAGCAAATTGTCAACACAACAAAAACCCCCTATAAGGACACAGTGTGACTAAAGGTTACACTTCTAAATCTTCTTCTAAATCTCCCAGAAGTCTGTTATTAGGACACAGAGGAGATGGGGTTGAGAGGCGAACCCATCTGTGTTATTATATTAAGTGTTCGTTTTTGGTTTTTGGTGTTTCCTGTCCTCTCTGACAATCCCGTATGTAGAAGTTGTCAGCCCACAAAAATACTAAAGAGGAAGTTTTAAATAAGATGCAACTGTCTGCTATTCATCTGATAAAACAGCATTTCCTGCTCATAGTTTTATGTCTTGAACTCTAACCCGTGAGGTGGAACCATAAGGATTCATGGTTTTCCAGCTTCACCTCAGACTGATTTCAGGACATCTGTGAAGATCAGCCTTCCAACCAGTTTTCCGTAGATTTAAAGTTGTGCATTTTTTCCCATTTTCATGAGTAACCTTTAGGGAGTTGGTTATACTGAATTGTGTTATTTAAGGTTATGAAATTAATACGCATACCACACTTTTCAGATTATTATTATTATTTTGCTAAAAAGTTAGCTTGAAACTATATAATGTTTAATTCCCTTCATGATTATTTGCTACTTTTTGTTGATTTCTTAGTTAAAAATTCAAATAAAATGCATTGATGCTTGTAGTTCTAATTTAATACCGTATGTAAACATTCAACACTTTTGCAGGCTCTGCATAGTCCAGTATCTACTGTAGTTTTAAAAGTGATTAAAAGTTCCTCAGACTGACGATTCCTTAATAATTCACTAAATGTTACTGTTTTATTAGCAGTAAAATTTCTGTTAACATATCTTAACATAATAATGCAAGAGACATTTTAAAAGGAGATGGACATTAGTTTTGGAAGAACAACAATGAGCTATATCATCAGTCATTGAAGAAAACTAAGTGAACCTACATCCTTCCATTACCTGTTTTTCTATAGGAATCAAGTAGCAGCAGTATTAACTGTGTTAGTCAGTGACCAACAGGAAGTGTGTGCTGGAGGTTATTATTGTATTGTGGTTATTTGGCTCATGTTTGACATTTGCCTGTTCTCCTGTTTCCCTCCAGCGATGCCTTCCAGAAGTCAATATTAACAAGACCGCTGCCCGTTAGCCTGCGTGAACCTCTCTGTCGTCGTTGTGCTGAGTCCGCCGTCAGTCTGGATGAGAAGAGATGAGCCTCTGCGATCCTAGAAGCCGTCATCATGAGCATGAAGAACCTGGGGGACTCCTTGGGCTCTAGCCTGGCCGTGCGGATGACAGGGGCGGCCGGCGGATGGAGCGCTCTCTCCTTGAAACCTGTGGCCCCGGTGCGCATCGGCTCCATTTTCCAGACCATGGTTCCCACTGGCTACACCAAGCTTCAGGATGATCGATTAGCCATGGTGGACCTGGGGGGGAAACCTGAGGCCAGCTCGCTGCAGAATGGCTACAGACAGGAAGCGTCTCACTTGGAGGCCCGGCGGATCGTGGAGCGGGCCTCCCGCTCCTCCATAACTATGTCAGACTGTGGAGAAGGGGGCTGCGCTGAGACAGAGCCCATGCTGGCAGAATGGAGGCTCTCTGGGGACGATGCCAGCAACGAGGAGGAGGAAGAGGAGGACACGGTGGAGGCGCTGGGGTCAGAGGGGTCCAATATGCCCAAAGAGTCGCCGCTGGCCATGGCTTTGCAGATACTGGTGCCTTTTCTCCTGGCTGGCTTTGGAACGGTGTCAGCTGGAATGGTGCTGGATATTGTTCAGGTAAGCTGGCGTGAAACCAGTAAAGATCCCATCTGAACAGACTGGGATTAAAGGCTCATCTGGTTATTAAATAACGTCTGGCTGTGGAGCTGATGTTCAGCTGCATTAACTCTCCACTGTGAAGGCCATGCAGTCATTACTGGAATAAACTGTGCTTTGAGCAGAAAGGATACATTATTTTAAAAAGAGGTTCTGAATAGTGTGGCATGCTTTTATATTCACGACCCTTCATTTTGATAATCCCCAAGGTGCATGAATCTCCTAATTAGTAAAAATTCTGTCTGTAGGTGATTTAATCTCATTATTAACTCAAATAATCTGTTTGTGTTTTTGTCACACAGCTTTTAGCCCTTATTGAGCTTTTACATGTTCCAAATACCTAGATGTAGAAGAAAGTGATGAGTTAGAAAAAAGAACACTCAAGCATTATTATTATTCTTCTATCATGGACTATAACTTGAGGAACAAGTCGAGCAGCTTTCTGGTTGCCACAGAGCCGGTTCTGGTAGATTTAGTTTACCATATCTGTGTGAGTTAGTTCTGCTTCCTTGTAGTTTTCTGATCCGCTTTGAAATTTGATTTAAAGCACAATTGTGAAACAACTGTTTTAATTGGAAGAGTATTTATTGGCGGTGACACGAGAATGCTTCGATGTAACCTGGATCATCATGGTGAGCCATCCTTTACCTTGATGGGTTTAACTGAGCGGACCGGATCGGTCAGCCGATAAAGAAATACAGAAACAAACAAACAAACAAAATCTCTCCAAGAGATTGTTTGACCAATAACTAAACTTTCTCTCTTCTACTCTGAGTTCTCTGTTTTCTAAGTTCTCCAGGTCGGTATAGATAGTCTCTTTGTTGACTCAACAGGGACAGAGTTGTGGACTCTTTATCTGAATGACACCAAGGCTTTTATCTTTAAATGTCAAATTAGGCTGCGTGATAAGAGATCAGATGTTTCTAATGTGTCCGCAGCACTGGGCGGCCTTCCAGTTCATCACAGAGATCTTCATCCTGGTTCCTGCTCTGCTGGGCCTGAAGGGGAACCTGGAGATGACTCTGGCCTCCAGGCTGTCCACAGCTGTGAGTCCTCCATGAGCTCTTTTTTTATTTCTGTCTCAACGATGCAAATGCTGCTGTCAGAATGTGTTGATTCGATAACCTTCAGAAAAAAATACCACAGCATCATGGTGCTGACAGGAACCAGCATTCAAACAAAGCTGTTCAACAAGATCTACTTGTGTTATTCACAGCAGCTTGACAACACTAACATTACTTGGCATTCCTTTAGTTTCCACGGTGTGGCTAGCTGTTTTCAGCTAGCAGAATCACAAAAGGATTCTGCTAGCTGAGTCAGCTGAGTCTGAGTCAGCTGACCACAGTGTGCAATTTTTGAGCAATTTAATACTTTGTATGACTAGGTGCGAGTATTTATCGTCTCATTTATCATTCCACACTGATTAATAGGTGTAGGAACCTCTGGATGTCAGGGGCGGAGACACGTCCCACCCAATACGGGAATCAGGTGTCCAAACGTTACACCGTAGAGGAAAAAAAAATGACTTGGAAATCTTTTAATTCACAAGCTTTTATTTTGAAAGCGCAATACAGCTTCATGTCAGTGTTAATTAAACTCTTGAACGTTGTCACCTGCACACAAGTAAGTACTGTGACCTGCAGACACATGTACCAAAAACTGGATGCAAAGTCATTTTAAATAATTTATCTTCACTTTTAGCATTTTTGCAGTAATATAAAAAAATGTCATGGTTAAACTCCAATTTCACCCTCTCTTTAAAGGTTACCTAATAGCAACATGTGCAATCAGCTTGCTGCTGTTGAAGATCCTGCTCTCTAGTTCTGTGATCAGTTTGCACATAAAGTGAAATTTTTCACCGCTTTCGTTAAGATTAGTTCATGTGTGAGTCAAGCTGCTGGAAAACCTGGAGGAGAACCGATCTGATCCTGACATCCTTCTGGAAGGGTCAGGTTGGAATACTGCAGCAGTCGGCATCTAAACACACTTCCTGTTCTGTTCACAGGGAGGTAGAGAGGTATTTTAAACCGTTGTTTTTTCCACTTCTCAATCTGAACAAAGCTGAATAAAGAAAAGACAGAGCAGAACTGGGTCTTTGTTGGGGTTCTAGTTGGTGGGCCCCTTCCTCTTTGGCTCTCTGCTCCCTGGAGCATGGAGGAGCTCCACCTTCACAACCCTGTGTCAACAACAACAAGTAGAGTTCAGTCAGATCAAATACCCTCTGCATCTCCTCTCAAAGCACATTTAACGCCTTCTCGTCATGCTGATAAGGACAGTTTCAGCACTGTACTACTGTTTATTTTTTTACCATCTCTCTGTCACTCTGTATGTAGGTAAATGTTGGGAAGATGGACTCTCCCATAGAGAAGTGGAACCTAATCATCGGCAACCTGGCACTGAAGCAGGTAATTACCCAGCCGGCCCCCATCCATCACCCTGCGAAAGTGTTAGCACTCCAATACATGTTCATAGTTTAACTTGGGGATTTATGGGTTAAGCAAACACAAAAAGGCTAATGGTTTTAAATTGGAAGAAAAATGATTTGTGAGTTGTTTTTTGGGGGGCATCCAGAGGGGTTGTTCTGTGATGCTGTTTGTTCTCCATCAAACCCAAAAGCCTTCACAGGACATTTTTTTAAAACATGAATTATTTAAAAACGATGAGCTACTTTGTTGCTCCAACAACAAAGTACAAAATCCCAATAAAATACTCTGAAGTTTGTTGCAGCAACGTGAGAAACGGTGTAAAACAATTGAAGAGGTATTTTGCTCTGCTTCTACAATTCCAGGTTTTATTATTCTCATCAGCCAATCAAATTCTTGATTTAGCTTTCTTCAAATTCGCGGTTATGAATATTTTAACACAGTAAGCTGTACCTCAGGTTGGAAGAAAAACATTGCTCTTTACTGTGATGTCATTTATTGTAGAGGAATGAGGCCAGGGCTGTTTTAGGGCTTATCTACCTTCTCATGAGCTGCAGCCGTCAGTAGGTGATGAGTTTTTATGTGACGGCTGCTGATCATCCAGCCACACACCGCTAAACACACAGGAGCACACAGCAAAGTCACAGCAGGATGACGGGCTGTTTGTGTGCATGGTTGTGCAATAACATCAGAAATGACTGTGTCAGATTATACTCAGATTATACTGTGCTTCTTCAACATGTTGATTTGACTTTTTTTAAACAATCAAGTGAAACCCCTGTGTGTGTTTTCAGGTCCAGGCCACGGTGGTGGGGTTCCTGGCAGCTGTAGCAGCCGTTGTGCTCGGTTGGATCCCAGAGGGGAAGTTTCAGATGAGCCATGCTGTTTTGCTCTGCTCAAGCAGTGTGGCCACGGCCTTTATAGCCTCCCTGCTGCAGGGTAAACACTCCTATCATAAACTGTCACAAGTGGAGCTCAGCACCACTTCTAAAACACTGTGGATATAGTTTGTTACCGACGTGTCAGGGTTAGTTTTTCTTTACTCAGGAGAAAAACCTTTGTGTTTTTTTTTCTCTTTTGTTCCTTTGTTCTTTTTTTCCCCACTTATCTTTCTTTTTCTTTCTCTTTTTTTCCTTATACTTTTTTATTTTTTATTTTTCCTCTTCCTCCTATTTTTCTCTCCACTTATTTTCCCTATTTTGTTATTCTTTTAATTCCCCTTTTTCTTTATTTCCTTTTAAATGTTTTGGGGTTCCATCTTTATTCATTGGGAAACTGAAATGTTTACTTGTTAAAAAAAATCTCCCTTCCCAAAGACCAAGTTTCCTCTGTCAAACCCCTCTCGAAGTGGAAACTTTGTATAACTAGGTGCATATAAAGTATGCTCCTCTTTTTCTGTATGGCTGCAGCAAACATTTCCAACCTATTTGACCCTTCTCCAGTGACTCCCTATATTTTTTTTCTCCATAATTATCAGCTTAAAGTCATGTTAGTAATGACCACTGCTGAAGTTCCCTGTTATTTTCTCATTGTGTTTAGGTATCCTCATGGTCGGAGTAATTGTGGGGTCGAAAAAGACCGGCATCAACCCGGACAACGTAGCCACACCCATCGCTGCCAGTTTTGGTGACCTCATAACTCTGGCCATCCTGGCCGGGATAAGCCAAGGCCTCTACAAATGTCTGGGTCTGTAGCTAACTACTGTGTTTATGAAGCTTTCACAACCACAGTTAAAATTAGATGACTATTAGCAGGGAGCAGATGTCCTCCCTTTAAAGGTCTAATGGTTGGAAACTAATTATTTAATCTGTCAGTTTAGTTTGTTTATGAGTCCTGTCTCTATTTTAGTCAGCTTTTAAATGCGATAACATGCAGCTTTCCCACTGGTCCATGCAGGCTTCAGAAGTCTTTGACAAGCTGTTAAATACATAGAATTATGACAGACTCAAAGTCCAAATTACATAAAAAGAAAACCAAATGCGATAAAAGAAAAAAAAGTACAATAAAAAAGGCTCCTAGTCATTTGGGAGGCAATCATACCAATGACTCCAGAGTACAGATGAGTATTTTATTGCACTATATTTAATGTTAGTCAACAGTAGGATAATTCTATTATTAGACTCATTTAAATGGCAAATAAATTTATACATAAGCTTTCTTAAAACAGCCATCAAAGTGCTGACGCGAGCGAATTCAAACAGTTCACTGGCACTGGTCCATCTGGGCTTATTTAACAAAAGATTCAGTGCGTCATTATAAGCCGCCTTCAGTCTTTGAAGACTGGCTTTTTTAAAGTTGAACCGCAAGTGTGCAGTATACAATGATGTACAATATGATCTGAACAAGTTCCATTTCACTTCATCAGAACAGAATCTAAACTTACGGACAAGGATATTTGCCTGAACATATAACCTGTGAACCTCATGGTAATTGTTCTCATTTACCATGAGTAAATATCTTTGCACATGACCAACGTTTGAGACGTTCAGTAAAGACCCAGATAGCTTGAAATTTGGAAATACCCTATTATTGTCCTCCTTAGTGCGACAGATCAAGATGATACTTTTTGATGGATTGAATTTAACGTCATGTAGTTGACCATATGCTGAGCAGACATTAAGCAGCTTCTGAAGAACAGCTGAACTTGGACTCAAAACAACTAGCATACATTGAATGATTAATAATAGTATCACCAACCATGCAGCCAATCCTATGCAGGTTTAGCTGCTTCGAGAGGTCATTCATATAAAAATTAAACAACATAGGAGATCAAACTAAAACAATTCCAGGTGATTTCAGAGAATAATTAAATACTCCACTCATCTTCATTAGGATCAACATTTTTATTCATGTAAATGTGTGTGGTGGTATAAACACCCATTACTCTAACACCAAGGGGTGTAATGATGCATGCAGCTCACAAAACAATCAGACGAGACATTTCAGAGCATTTATCAATATTTTTTGGAAAACTTGGAGTCCCAATTTTGTCCTCAACGATTCAAACTTTAGAATCTGTTTCAAAAACAAAAATCTGCAATCAGTTAAACAAATTATAGATTCAGAAAAGACTGGCATATACCCGGACAATGTAGCCATACCCACTGCAGCCAGTTTTGGTGACCTCACAACTCTGGCCTGGATAAGCCAGCGCTGCTACAAATGTCTGGGTCTGCAGCTAATTACTGTTTATGAAGCTTTCACAGCCACAGTCAAAATTAGATGACTATTAGCAGCTGTGTCTTTCTTTATGTGTTTATTTTTTGGGTTTTATGTTTTCCTCATTCTGAGGGAGTGCTAATTCCAAAAAAAGCATTTCAAAGTCTCCCAAATGATTCCACATAATGAATTAAAGTTTTATAAATAAATTCAAACAGGCAGGCCCATTTCATATTGTCCAGGATAATTCCAGTAAAAGTTTTCACAGGTTTGAAACAATTCAACACAGCACTCTCATTAAAGATGACATTATGTTTGTTAGCAGGTGGGAGGATGATTTAAATCAAACGCAGAATGTACAAAAACATACACTACAGATTCCACCATGTCATTTTTTTAATAGAATCAAGACAGAACAAACTGAAAGGCTTAGTGAAAAATAAAAAGGTCTTAAGAAGTTACCACTGACATAAACAAACATCTGTTGAAAATATGCAAAGCTCAGGGATCTATATCATCCATTTATTCAAGATGCAGATGCCATAAGGATGCCTCTGCTATTGAAGCAAAAAGTTAAATACTAATAAACATTGAAATGTTTAATACTTCTACTTGTGAACTTGTGAACTTAGAAGTATGATAAGCTTGAATAGTTTGTAGTACTAAAACACCCTGGAATAAAATAATTCATATCTTAAAAAGTTGCTTAACTCTGCTACACCATGAGTCCCCTCTCTTTAGATGTGTAATTAGACACTTCCCTCAGTTAGCCAGTAGGGGGCCCTCCTGGCTCATTCATTCTTTGATGTCTTTGCTCCAACAGACCCAATCCAGATAGATACATTCTGATTCAACATTCCGTTTTAGGCTAAAATAAAGCTGTTTACCCGACACATTAGAACCTCTGTCAAGCTTCATCCAGTAATAGAAATGTGTGAAATTATTAATAAAAGAAACAATTAAATATTTGGAGCTAAATTTAAATCGTTCTGGGACAGAGCTATGCAGTGAGACTGCAAACAGGAGCCCTGTTGTTCTTCACCCCAGTCACACAAAAACTTTCTGTTAAATTTACTTCAAAATATGTCTGCAGAATTTCTAACTTTGGATGCAGTCAGCTCAGCACCAAATGTCACCATGGCGCCGACCATGACAGCTGCAGGGACTCAGACAACTCCTGATAGGTTTATTTATGGTAGATGCTATTGTGGAGGCTACTACAACACATGGAAGAAACCTGTATAGTTCTGCAAAATATTATGATACACTGTGTGTGTGTGTGTGTGTGTGTGTGTGTGTGTGTGTGTGTGTGTGTGTGTGTGTGTGTGTATGCAATGCCTTGCAAATGTATGGTGAAGCAAAAATGATGCATGTGTTTTTGGGGGATTGTTTGGGTCATATCTCTACCAGCTTTGCCCATCTTTGCAAAATGACTCAAGTTTTGTCAAAATAGAGGAGCATTAAACATGAAGTTTAAAGTCATACAGTTAAATTGTGATGAAATAAAGCGCTCGCTTTCCTATTTTCCCGTGTATTCGAATGTGGTCTGTCAGGCAGTGCGTTTAGTTCATTTACAAGTACTTTTCAAAACTGAACTTATTAAATTCAGTTTAGAGATGCATAATTTTCTTCACATCATAATTATGATGTGAAGAAATTTTTTTTAGCCTACTACATAAAGTGTTAATAATATACAATTATGTTTTTATGATTAAATCTTGTTTGTAAGAGTTATGACCCAGACTGTAAGAGACTCAGGAAACCTTTGCAGGTGCTTGGAGTTAATTTCCTGATTAGGGTGCAACGCCACAGGTATATATATATATATATTATATATATATATATATATATATATATATATATATATATATATATATATATATATATATGTTTGAATGATCTATGTTTTTCACAAAGATCATTCATTCTCATTGATAATTTAATTTTTACCAATTGTGTACGGCAGAATGAGTAGGATCACTTAGGACATTGGTAGGAGCGGTTCAGTATAATATATGGTATTGTCTGATGTATTCAGTAGTGCGATTCCACCACCAGTTGGTCTCTCACTGGGCAGGCTGAGTCAATCTCAAACGCCTAACTATCTTGGGCTTGTTGCAAGCAGTGACGTTTTTTTGTGGACTTTGTTTGACAGCAGTAGCTCTACCATAACCGTACAATGATACGGATCAGTATGGGTCACTTTTATAAAGGAAATGACCTTCACCGACCTGTGCCGTACCACTCAGTGAAAATAAAGTATTTCATAATTAAACTGACTAATGGACAGCATTTCTAAGAATAAATTCTGTCCATGGGAGCCAAAGAAATGTATTCTCTTCATCTTTCTCCTGCTCCCTCCCCAGACTCCTATCCTTATGTATCATCGTTGGTTTGCGCCTTCTTCATGTGTCTGACTCCTCTGTGGATCGTCATTTCCTCCAAGCACCCGGCCAGCCGCACGCTGCTGTACTCTGGATGGGAGCCAGTCATCACCGCTATGGTCATCAGCAGGTGTGTGTTATGTTGATACTTGTCAGGAGAAAAAAAAAACAAAGTGTTGTTTATGTGATCTTGTGTGGATTTCATGTGATGGACCAAAGCTATGTAGGGTTTCATCTTTCCTACACCTATACTGCAGTCTTGACTCATCTGGTATGAGAATCTTGCAACTCTTGGAAGACTGATGTTCACCCTCCTGTCTGACTGAGCTTGAGTTGTTTTGTAAAGAGAGAGTGAAAATATCAGCTCCTAGGCGTGTGAAGCTGCTATAGCTCTAAAAAAACCTGAATTTCCTTCTGCTACTTCAGGCTGATGTTACACACCCAAGTCTACTGGAACACACTTTGGTTTGTTGTTATGAATTCTTTTGCTAGTCACTGTATCCTGTTTATGCTACTCCCAGGGTCTGCTTTGTTGGATGACGCATTCCCTTAAACAAATTGCAGCAGTGAGCGCTCACACCCTCCGTTCCCCTTGAGCCTGGCTCCTTACAAATAAAGCCCATAGGAGGGAAGCATCTCTCTTTCTCTGCAGCACTTTCTTCTTCTCACTCGGCGCATGCAATTCAACTCGGCCTTTCATGCTTTATTAGCAAGGCAGATGTAGAAACCATGAATACTAGCAGTGCATATCACCACCTAAGTTGGTTACTGAAGTATCAAAAATAATCTGTTGGTTTATTCAGAATGATTAAAAGCAACAGATAATAATAGCTAATGAATAATGGCAGCTATTGACACCAACTTTTTCCAATTCCTACATACAATATATTTTTTCCTTGTACTGTTAAAAGACATTATTGTGGTTTACAATTAAGTCTTAACATTAAAATAAATTTTCATTTTCTCTGAAATGGTTCCAGGTTAGAGCTGTCTCACTGTGTCAGCTATTACCTTCAGGGTTAGTGACTGGAGAGATTTGGCACAACAAATAAAAGTGGAACTTCTTGCAGGAAATATGTTTTTCTACCAGATCTACTTAAAATAAAAGGCGTGTGTAAAGAAAAGAGCCCTCATTTACCATTTAACTTGTTAAATATTTTATTGTGTGGTAACAAAGCATTGTAATGCAAGAAGCCCTCCTGCCACAAACACTCATTAATTATAGATGTTAGGAGCAGATCCAAAACCTGTGTGTGAGGGAGTGAGAAGAATGAAAACCATGCTGTAATTTTTATTACACAATATTTATCATCATTCCTACCTCCTTTTCTAGTCAGATGTTTTCTGGCTTGCAGTTAGTGATGGTTGCATCCATTTTCATGGCTGAGTTGAGAAAAATTGGTAAGGGAGAAATGGAAAATAAAGCAGCTGGAAGTTACTGAAGATTTATGACCTTAGGTGTGGAGCACAGAGCTCAGGCATTGACGCAGAATACAGTGGCCAGCCAAGACTAAAGCAGGGGATAGCAGCATCCGAAGCAGATAAACATTTCCCAGTCAGTATGGTCTGTGACACGTTGAAATGGAAAGAGATAAACCAGAGCGACTTTGCTGTAATCTCAGCTTTTCTTTTGTTGGCTCCCAAACTGTACATATAGAGCCACCTATGCTAGTAGATTGCTTGAACATCAACTATGCCGTCCATAATCAGGCACGTTTTGACTACAAGACATTGGAATGTAATTTATCACCATAAGAAACGTGTTTTGAATGTGAAACAAAGTAAAAGGTCAGCTGACGTTGCTAAAAAGAAAAAAAAAAAAGAAGGAAGAATTAGGCCCGTTTTCATCCACTCATTTGGAGCAAATCAAGTAGAATGTGGAATTCCATCAGATGTTGATGCTACACATGGCTGTAATAGGCAGGAAGGAGAGGTTGTTCGTAGCATGTTTGCCCAAGTCTCTTTTGAAATATATTTTTAATGTCAATGAGACATACCTGGTCAAATAACGGTTATGGATCATACATCTTAGATAAATGGAGAGTTGTCCTCAGAGCTGGAGGTTTGGACTTTGAAATTGTACGATCCTTCCATGGGATTGATGGGAGTGTTCCTCTGCACTCATCCCAGCCTCTCGCCGGCCACTGCATGCTGACAGTCCTTCCATCTATTCTGGAGGTCTGGGTGGGGAAAGTTCATTATCTCAGAACTTAGTCAGAAAATGTGTTCCATCTTCCCTTTGGTACATCAAAACACAACCTTTTTTATGCAATATGTTAGAAAAAACCGTTGATGGAAAGACAATATTGAAAGGTTATTACAGTACCTCTGGAGGAGAACCAAGCACAATGTTGTTCTCCTGCTTGGAGAGCAACCTGGTGCTCCAACCTGAACTTCTTTCAGCGTTTAAACTGATTTCTAATGTCTTCCAGTTTGGGGGAAGTTTAGATTTAATTAATGATTGAGAGATAACCACACACAGACACCACAGGTGATTATAAATACATACTTTAAACTGAAAATCTGTTGCAGGTAACAGTACGTATGAGCAGTAAGTATAAACACTGAACAGATATACTAATTATTTATCAGTGTCTGTAAGATCATGTAAGGTTGAGTTCTTTTTAGAATCTTTTGAAGGCCAGATCCTTTATTTGTTCCACATTCACCTCCTAGTCAACAAATGATAAAACTCTATTTGTTTTTAATGTTAAAAATAACATCATGACTTAATCTGTGTATGTTGTGTGTTTCAGTATCGGAGGACTCATTCTGGATAAAACGGTGTCTGACCCGAACCTAGCTGGCATTGTAGTATACACCCCAGTTATCAACGGTGAGTACTGACTGCCCTTTTGGGTTATCATATAAAAAAGTTTGGACACCCCCGATGGTATACATTTTAATTTCCAAATATGTGGGTGTTTGGATCAGAGATTTCAGTTTGATGTATCAAATAACTGATGGACTTGGTAATATTTCAGTTGTACAAATGAGGTTTACTGGATTAAATAGAAAATGTGCAAAATATATGGAGAAAAAAAATTTGACAGGTGCAAAAATTTGGGCACCTCAGCAGAAAAATCACATTAATATTTAATCTTTTTGCAAAAATAACCACCTCGAGACTCTTCCTGTAGCATCTGCATCCTGGATGAAGGTACTTTGGACCATACTTTCTTATCAATCACTTTCAGAGTTCAGTTGGATTCAAATCATCCCACAGATTTCATGATGTTCAGGTCTGGTGACTGGGATGTCCATTGCAGAACACTTGTTTCTCAATGTGAATGCTGGAGTAGATTTTGAGCTGTGTTTTGGATCATCATCTGATTAAGACTTTATTAGTTTCTGGAACCTGTTTTTTGTGATGATAAACCAGAATTCTGCTGCTGTTTTATAGGTTTTCCTCTTTAGCAGCTGCCTTAACGAAACCCTTCTTTGAGCTGTTCTTATATTCCATGTCATACACGGCTTTCCTACAAGCTAACATCAAAGTGAAGGAGTTGAGAAAAGTTGCACTGTTGTTGTTTGTCTCCTTTATCTCCCTCCTTTGTTTTAATTAGTGCAGTCTTTGACCCCGAGAACAGAGATGGAGACAAATAGTTTCTAGACAAGATGGATACCAGGGACACAGAGTCCATTTATCTTGTGCAGTGCAGCGAACATTGAGTGATGGTGGATGTGAAAACGGGGGAAGCAGCCCTGCTTAGTGAACCCCTGCTTAAAAAAACTGTAGAAACTTTACCTAATGAGACTGGAGCTGGCAGTCGGCTGCTGTCTGTGTATCTGTTTAGTTTTAACTGGACCTTTTCCACGTCTCGTTGCTAGCAGCCGAAGCTGAGCTTCTCTGTTCTTTTGGCACCTTAACAACAAGAGATAAGCTTTTAATTAAGTAGCATTAATGAGAGAGAGTTAAAAAGAGGATTCTTCTTCTGTCCTGCTGTCCTTTCAGACAGCATCTGCGCCAAACAACTGAGGTCTCCAGGGAGGGGCCTGCTTGTGAATATAATCAGTTTTTGTGTTGTAGCAAATTTTTAAATCTCCATCATTTTCAAAATTCTGATGACAAGCGAAGGAAAAACCCTGAGGCTGTTTAGTCTTGTTTCTGCTGATTAAAACACTCTGTGGCCTAAAGAAAAGAAACACACACAGCAAATAAATGAATGTCTGACTCTTACCTGATATGGTTGGAAAAAAAATGTCATCATCATTTTAGTAATGAACATTTTAGGTTGTTTTTCTAAATAAAAAATTTTCAGAAAGAGTCAGCGGGGCAAAGGCAGCAGAAAAGAAAGGGAGTCTGTGTCGCTGGTTACTTCTTTATTGTAACATTGCTTTTTGGCAGTAAATTTCCAGTAAAGCCACATTTGTAAGGAGAACATACTTGTGGGTTGAGCAGTAAGACCAACTCCGCTCTGCTTCATCTGCAGATGAATCTGATTGGATGATTAATGAAGTTAGATGAAACAAGACATGGTAACAATTTACCCAGCTGAACAATCAGGGGCTTCTGTAATATGTAAGAGCACCATAAGCTTTAAAAGAAGATCTGTTACAGTTTATTTTTACTCCAAGTTAGTCAAACTATTTTTTTAGTTTCTTTATTATTTATTTTACATTGTCTGTTCTAATCCTAACTGCACTGAATGAACAAATTGTTTTTGCATGTTGGACCAAGTTTGTGAAGCTGTTTGTGTATTTAAGTGTTCTGTACTGGTGTAGAGTTATCAAATAAATCTGTAATTCAGTACATTTATGTCTGTTTGAAAAATATGAATGTTTTAGGTCAATTCAGCTGTTTTTCTGGATCGAATCATATTAGCTGATACTGATCCTCAATTACTGGTATGAGAAGTGGAAAAAGCAGATCAGTGCATTTCTTCCTCAGTTACCAGGAAGAACTAGCTGCTCATGAAACATTCATAAGGCTGTTGGTTGTTGACAGGCTGGAGGCTTCAGTGATTTTATGGCTGGATACATTTCTTGTTGTTCCATTTATTTTATTAGTCAAATAAATGCATTGAGTTTCAGGTTAGAAAGCCTTTGATGTGACTTTGTAAAACCTGCAGTAATCCTGCTCAGTCATGCAGCGTATGTGGCCTCCTGACGGCTCCCAGACACAGCTCAGGCTTTAATCTTTGCTTATCATCTTGTCTTTTTTTTTTACTTGCTCTCCTCTGCTTTGTTTTTTTTTTTTGTTTGTTTGTTTGTTTTTTTTAGGTGAAGCTCTTTTTGTGTTCTGTATCACTTTCTCTCATGAAAGTCACTTTATTCCTCCTCCTCAGGTGTTTTCAAAGGTTTTACAGTGTTGCTTTGTGCTTTGTGTTCAGATTGAAAATGATAAGAGGCTGACATGCATTTCCATTATTTTATACATTCACATTTGGCAAGAAAGCATCAGGTATTAAAGATCACTTATTTGATTTGTTAAAGCTTTAAGATTAATACAGATAAACATTTGAGGTGATGTATTCATGATGAAGCAACCCACCTTCAAAATCTTAAATTAAACTATAATTGCAAGGTTTCTCCAATATTAATATGTTTTTCCTATTGACTGGTATTGTTAAAGGAATAGACAGGTCATTTGTCTGTGAATGAACCTGTCTTGAGGTCAATATAGACTGGATAAAGCTGTAAAGTTGAAATATTGGAAGTGGAATGCCATCCCAAAGTTCATTCCTCATTTTGCAGCCAGTTGATATCAGTGATGGTGATTTAACTGAAAAGGTTACTTGTCTTAAAGTCGATCCTTTAAAAATGAGAGATCTAAAACGTCTGGATGCAGAGTTCCAAAAGCCATTAAAAGTATATGAAACCTTTAACTTGTTCATAATAAACATAAACGAATATGTGTTTTTGGTGTATTTCTGGACAAGCAGGCAAGCTGCAATAGATAGACTATTGAAGCTTTAACTGTTCATTATCCTGCATTATTTCCAAATTCTTAAGCAGGCATGTTTTGGGACACTTTTACTTGTGATAAGGAAAATTAGAATATTTTTGCTATCTCGAACTTTTCTCAAATTTCAAGACATAGGGCATATTTCAGGGGTCAGCAACCTTTAAAACTAAAAACCATTCTTGCCTTCGGTTCAGTTGAATTGGTATTGATTAGAGCTGCAAAAGCCATATGACTGTTCAAGAACCACTGACGTCAGTTTTTATATTCAGCAGTATACTTATAAATCTGTTAAATATGCTACTATAAATTTACTAGATTTGTAGTAGATTTATAAGTCTACTATATTCCCTTTTTAAAGAATTTGGAACTCTTTTTTTTTTTTTTTCCCCAAGAAAATTTTTTTTATAAAAAGCTCATTTCTACATGTGTAAATTTGAACATTTATGGAACGTGAAACATTGTGTTGCAGAAATGCTATGCAAATATTGCATAAAAACTTGTAAAAAACCTCCATCTGTTTTATTAGCTACCTTTTTAGAGATTTTTTAAAAAAAAATTTATAGAAAGTAGTAATTTTAAGGAATTCTAGATCATTTACTCTATTCTGTTTTGCCTCAGCCATTGATGACCCACCTGTCTGTCTTGTGCAGGTATTGGAGGAAACTTGGTGGCCATCCAGTCCAGCAGGATTTCTACACACCTGCATTTCCACTGTGCTCCGGGAGAAGTTCCTGACGAGGCCAAGGGCTGCTACTACCCCTGCCGTACATTCTGTGGCACAGGTCAGTCCAGCCACCAACTGCACCGACGTCATTTCATTCTCATGTGATGTGGTAACAAACATGCAGATTATACTTTAAAACTGGCACAAATTTAAACTAGTTCTGTCAGCTGACAAGATATTTTTTTTCAGTTTAATATCAGGATGAAGTCATTAATTGATCTATTAATCGACTAAAAGCTCTGATAGACCCTACTATGTTATGTTGTTTGGCCTACAAAATATTGCGAAATACTAGTAATACCAGAAGTGAGCCAGAGCAGGAGAATGATGCTGTCACCATGGTGCTCAACAGTTGGCAGCAGACAGGGACTTGGAGTTGTTGTTTCTAAGCCTTTCAGACATTTTATCAACATTTTGTCCCAATCAAAGAATTTACCATTTAATTAAACTGGTATGTCATTTAGTTGTTCACCCAAAATTGAAAAATCAATCATTAACTGTGCTTTATTTACATTTTGAAAATACATTTATGGAAACATACCAATTTCAAAAACAATGCCACTAGGATGAGGTGATTTTATTATTATTATTTTTTGGCCATATCAAAATTGATTTAATTAGCAAAACTGGAATTGAAACTTTTTTTTCTCATCTCACACGTCATATGATCAACAGGTAGATGTTGCCACTGTCCAAAACCATGAAGGAGGTGACAGGAAGTAGTTGGATGATGTTGGCGCTGCATGTTTTTTTTTAATGACTCATCGCTTGAACAATCTTACTCATGTGTGATTTTTATTGTGCCTTCGTATTTAACGGAAACACTGTAATTGCACATTTGTGCTTTTTTGACTTTAGCGGAATATTGACAAAGTTTTGTAGTAGAAACACAGCTAGGTTGTTTATAAAGCCAAATCTGGTTGTAGCTGCAGATGGAAGGTCACAGGACAGATGAGGACAAAGTCTGACAAAACTTTTATATTCTGCTCATAAGATGTCAGACTAACTCCAACGCTCAAAAAAAGTAATTATGTCCAAGACAGTGTGAGGCTAAATTCACTAAATGAATTTCAGTTTTCATCCACACAGTCCTAGTGTGCAGCTTTGATCCAGATTTATAGGGACATATTTAATCTTCATGTGAAGCAAAGGCAGATGGTTAGAGAAGGAATAAACTATAATCAAAATGACTTTGGTCAATATTAAAAATTTTGAATAATTGATATTGGATCATTTGGTACAGTACATTTAAGAACACTTTGAGAACATCGACTTGCCTTCAACAAATCACCTCATTGAATCGTCCTTAAAAATAAAACAAATTATTTATTCAAATGTAGAACTTTATAATAAAAGAAATCCAAATAAAATAAGCAGTTTAGTGCTTTTTGTAACTATCTTACAATTGATTAAATCTTTCGACAGAATGGGGCTCATCTGTATGAATAAGGTTTGTGGGAGTATGATACTCAATATTTATGTAGTGAACAAATGACCTAAACATAATTTGCGTCTCTCTCAATTTTTTTTCCTCAAGGGTTTTTTTCATTCAAAAGTTGTTGCATCTAAACTAATTTAAGTACATTGTAATTACTTAAATTTGTAAGTTTAAATCCCACAATTTTAATAGTTGTAGGGTGAAAATCATAATTAACAGAAGTAATAGCTTTCAAATATCCATCTGTGTAATTAACCTATATAATATAAGTATAATTATTAAGTTCTTAAAATAAATGTACTTTTCAAGGGTCTTCTAATTTGTGTTATGGGTTTGCACATAACTTAAATACAATATTTTATCTTAAATGCATTGGTGTGTTTTATTGAGCTTTTCAGCTAAGAGCTGTAGCTTCAGTGTCAACTTCAGCAAGCTGGCGATGTTAAGCATGGGGGTGGCAGTATCATGCTCTGGATCTGGTTCCCATTCACTAGTTGCTTATTGAGTTTTAATCTCATGACGTTGCACAGTATTTGTTTTAATTTTTGTCCAGATTTTTGATATCTTCACCTGTTATTGTATCACGAATTCAGATTTTGACAGATATTTCAAATTAAGACCATGCTGAAAAAGCTAAAGTGATGCATTGTTTATAATACATTAAGTTAATCACACAAGTTTACGAAGGACTGACCGCAACAATCTTGGTCTGCACCAAAAAATGTCAGCTTCTGCAGAGATTTCAGTTTAGATATAGGAACATGAAAAGAACCAAACAGAAAGCTCTGTGCTTTTATTCTAATTTTTTATACTGATAAGAGTCCAAGTGTTAAAAGAAACTGCCTGGGCTTTTCTCTGGACGTTCCTCCCACAATCTGAAACGAAGCTCTTCTGAGTGAGCATGAATCTGATTTTTTTTCCAGGGCTCAGAAGTTTATTTATGTCACTGGTGGCTGAAAACTCCTGCAGTGTTTGTACCTTATTAAAGAGACCAATCCTCTGTGACTTCTTGAGGTTACTGTGTGCAGAGCAGAAGTTTTCTCTAGTAACTGATGGCTGTTTGCTTCAGGACTCCCAATATAATTCAGCTGTCCTTCCCCAGATGTAGAACCTTAACCTTCCTTTTCGTCAACCTGTCATTTCTCAGGAGCAAATCATCGCTCAGCTCAGGTTCTGCTGCTTCTGGTGATCCCCGGCCACTTGATCTTCCTCTACACCATCCACCTGATGAAGAGCGGACACACCACACTCACCCCCATCTTCATGTCCGTCTACCTGGCTGCTGCTTTGCTACAGGTGAGCATCTCCACATTGAAACAACAGACTCATGGAATAGTTCCGTGTGATTCTGTTGTTGCTAAATATGAAATCTAGACTTTCAGAACCATTGCTTTAAATGACAGGAATTTATTTAAAGGTACAGTTGCAAATTTGTATCTTTATGGAGAATAATGGTTGATGGCACAATTTAAAATTCACCAATAATTTCAGCTGTCTGATAATATTCATTGCCTGTTTTTTTTCATACCTTCCTTATCCCAGTTTTAATATGAATGATCAAAGGCAGTTCTTGTTTTCTCTTTTCAAGAAGAGAGCACACAGTCACACCACACGCCCAAGTTCTTTATCTGCTTCCTTCTTGTCGATATTGAAGGTGACCATTAAATCTGTCTAATCAGCATTAGGAAGCAGGAAATGGTTTGACAACAGCCATTACTCGCTGACAGACAGGTTTCAACAGGTCAGCACAGTGTATTATAAAATACTTTTACACAAAACATGGGTTTTCTCATGAGGTTATCAACAACTTCAGCCGTGAGTGTGTCTGCTCTTTAAACATTTAACCCTTTGTGTTCTGTGAAGTTGTGTGCTTTCACATACAGCTGAAGGAGTCTGACCTGTTCAGAGTTTTGAGTAGTTCCAGCCAAGAGAATTTAATTATGATTGACTGCTTTCACTTATTCAGGTTCACTGTGATTTGTCATAGTGTTTGAAGTGTTAATAGTTTAACTGCTTTATGTGTGCGTGTGTCTGTGTCCAGCTCTTCCTCTGCCCCGCTGTGCCCCTGTCTCTTTAATGCAGAGACGGCACATTAGGATGTTATGCAGGCTGCAGAGGAGTTGGAGACTTTACAAATCAATTGGCTCCATTACCAGCAGTGCTGCTTTGAGGTTCACTGTCACTGATGGAACGTCAGTGGGAAGGGACAGGGAAGAGGCTGTGTAAGTTGAAAAGAAGCTTGCACCCAGCCTGTTTGACATTGTAACCTTTACAAAAACTAAACACAGAATATTGATCAGTTCATTCATTAAGTTCCAAAGCTGAATTCTTCTTTGAATCTGCCTGCATTGCTTAAAAGCAATGTCTTTAGTTGTTTAGGGGGGAAGTTAAAATATGCGTCACGTCTTGCTTCTGGAGCTTAATCTGCTTTGTCATCAGTGTGTTTGTGCAGACAGAGACAGAATAACAACACTCATTAGGAGCCTGAACGCAGCACGCTCTGCAGAATTAAAATGTTCAGGGGAAAAGGGTGACTGCTCATTCAGTTAACTCTGAGCGTTCAGTCAGAAATAAGGCGCTGGTTGATTCACCTTCCAAAACAAACAGCACTGAGCTAACTTTGCCTCTCCATTAAAGCTGACTCATACTTTACAGCATCTGTTAGCTACTTTAAAAGATTGGCTTCTTTTACCACATGTTTGTATTAAACCAGCTCTAACAGAAAAAGCTGCAATATTACAGTTACAGTTCTACTAATGTATTTTTTTGAAATGGATTTGTTTTCCAAAACTCCAATAGAAACACTTTTCCCATCTCACAGGTCACATTTTCTCACCACTCTTACAGTCAGTGGAGCAACAAGTTGCTGACTGACTGTCAGTGACTGTGGTTAGGAAGATCAGCAACTCAACTTTGTCTTTTTCCAGAAAGAAGGATCAGAGTGCAGACCAGCCGCATACAAATGGGCCGTTGCTATGGGCGATGGCAGTGTCATGCTATGGGGATGCTTTCGGTCCAGCTGGAGAGAGTCGACTGGAGGTCCAGGCTGACTTGCGAGACTGACGATAAACATACAACCAAGAGCGGGAGTGATTGGATTGGCCTAGTCAAAGTTCAAATCTAAATCCCATTGAAAATCTGTGGCAAAACTTGAAAATAGATGTTCACAAATGCTAAACAGGGTCTGACTGAGCCTGGGCTGATTTGCAGAGAAGTATTCATAAAAAACATAGAACTTCTGAAAGCAGGTAGCAGAAATAGTGGGAACTGAATAGATATGCATGCCGCACTTTTCAGATTTTATTTGAGCAATTGATGCTAAGCAATTGATGCTAAGCAGTGTAGCATACAGACACCTCCAAACTCCAGATGCTCTTCGGTTTAGCTCAACAGCCTCTGCTGCATCACACCTGAATAGAATAAGTAGGTCATTAGCAAGGCTCTGGAGAACTGATCTATGCAAGGAGCAAGGAGTCTCATTCCAGTGTTTTGTACCTGTGGCACATCTGAAAACTGCAGGATCTGGCCCGAGGACTGGACATTGATACACCTGCTCTAGAGGAAAATGTTGGGATGAAGGTTTTCTCATCCAACATCAGTGTCTATAATTTTGACAATTTCCACAATCACATGACGCCTTAAATATCTTTGTCTATCTACCGATAAATAATATATCTACTGATTTTCTCCACGGTGACCAATGTCTGTGTAAAGAGAACAAAGCAACCTGTGGTTTTGTTTAGTTTTCAGCTTATAAAGTGACAAAGAACACATGGATTTGTTGAGCCCTTACAGAACCAAAAACACGTAGTGTTCAGTGAGGTGTGTGTGAACAAAGGGGAGCAACAAAGAACAATTGATGCAAAAAGAAAGTGAAAGGCAATGGATGCTCACAGCACCAGATTCAAACCGTTCTGAATCCAAACATCTCACACACGGCAGCTTTAAACAAACACAGGAACAAATCACCTTGAGAATCTCACAACATCCACTCAGCACATTTTCAACATATGTGCTGATAAAGAAGCATTAAACACATAAAAGAAAGACTTTTATTTCAGCCTAGAGACATAAAAAACAAACTCTTTCTTTGTGCTGAGCTCGGTCGCTCAGGTTGAAGTAGTGTGCAGGGATCTGACAAGACCATAAAAAAAACAACCTTGTGATCTGGTAGGCCGGCTGGTGGGATCTGGCAGCGTCAGCACTACCATCGGTTCAAAAAAAAAGCCACGTCGTTGACGACTGAAGCAGTTTCAGGGGCTTCTAGAGGCAAACTGCAGAGGGTTTTGCATATCTTTATGTCGACCATACGGGAACCAAGAAAACCAGGTACACAAATGGTATTCCTTTCAAAGTTCTCTAGGTAACAAGCTAGCTTATTTGCTAGCTTATGTGCTAGCTTTGAAGGTGCCTTGCGCGAGAAATATGGTGTCTCGCGCAAGGCACACTGGGAGATGCGGTTTGATGAGTAAAATGGAAGTCCAACACATAAAATGGAAGTCCAACACATTGATATGATATTATATGGGCGAACACCTGCATTTTGCTCAGGAGTTTGTTTGCTTCAGCCAGAGAGGTTTGAGGTTCTTGGTGTCTTGTGATATTAGAAAGGAACGAGGAATTGCTGTTACTTAATGAGCTTTTTATCACTCAAATTCTGAACTTTGAAGGTTTCCGATCAAAGAGCAACTCTGAAATTGAAATCGCTGCATTTGTGACAAGTTGACAAGACTATTCACTAGCTTGCTAAACGCAGCTGCCCGTATTCTCTCAGGTACCAAGAAATCGCAACATATTACTGCAATTCTTACATCTCCACCCTCATTGTGTATTTATGTTTTCTTGCCACCAAAGTAATTATAGAAGCTCCCACAAAGGCAGAGATGGTTTCCTGAAGCCGGGCGGTTTGAAAGAACCTCCAGCCACTGTGAAAAGAAAGAAAGGAACGTTGCTGAAAATTTCTAACTCGCCCACACTTCTTTATTAGTCTGACAGAGGTTACATCTCTTTCATCATATCATCTCTCAAGAGCACCGGGCAAAACAAAGCAGAACGGCATTTTTCTAAGCTGTGTTTCATATTAGATCAGTGAAATGCCTTCATCTTTTAAGCCATGCAAGGCTGTCAGCACAATCAGAGCTCTTGTATTTTCGCACAGAGGATGATGCATCATTACAATCAGTCCTCCCTGCTGTTTGACACCATCATCCCTGCATGTTTTCTACGCGTCGGTGTTGATCACCGACAGCAATGTGGTTTTGTTTTGATAATTATGCCACTATAAACCCTCTTGACAGGTCATTTTCTTTTAATTTATAGACATACCCTTATCTTTTAATAGACTTCCCTTTTTTCTGTCACCATCATCCCTCCTGGTCTGGAAGCCTAAATCATGAATAACAATTATCATAACTCTGCTTCCAGGCTTTACTTTTTTATTTCAGTTTTGTGTGTTTGTGCTATTCTGGGCTGCATTTTGAAACACTTCTTCCTTTCAGCCATAGTAACAGGAGCCAAAGCCCTGACCTAACCTCACCAATGGAGTTGAATTTTTAAGTGAGAACACTTAATGCACATTGTCTTTAGTTAATTTATGAGTCTCATTATTAAACTTGAGTTCACTTACCAGTGTATTAGATAATTGAGTATGCCGATACAAGACACTAACTTGGCAGATTTGTTCCCATGGACTTGCTTTCCCCCCAAACAAAACAAAACAAAAATAACTTGAGCCACTGAAACATTCCAAATGGTGGCTGACTTTTAAGATAAAATTGCCAATTGCTGTTAGTGGTCACAACTAACCAAAAAGTTAAGTTCACTAAACAAGAATCTTAGCCCTGCTAATGCTAAACACATAAAACGATTACCAGAAGCTAAGGCAATAATGAGTTCAGAGCTAAAAAAAAAAGGTAGTTATCTTGAACAATATCCATCCTCCGGAAATCCAAAAGCTTGATTTTACAAATGACCAGAGTGAGATTCATCAATCTCCACATCACAAAAGATTTGTTGCTCTGAGCCGAGTGTGAATGAAAACCTATTCAAATAAGATGACCTCAGGTTAGATTAGTCAAGAAAGTTTCAATTCAGCCAGCTTTGATTTTGTTTTTTTCTTAAGCACTAATAAGCACTAATAAGAAATCTTGTGATCAGTTATGAAGGAACCCAGAAGCAGCATACACCAAAAATGTTCCTACAGCTAATTTAGAATAACTTTCATCACACCAAGACATTTCTGAATGGATTTCTCAAAAGAATACAACAAAGAAAATAAATAGTTTTTAATTATGTTGTCAAAAAAATGGCATGTTGAAGATCATTTGTGCTCTTTCTTAATAATCATTGGACAAATCTTTGCATCTCTTATACTGGCTGAGCAGCTTTTTGAGAATTTCTGCTGTTATTTTTTAAAACTTAATATTTCACTTCAAAACATGTAGTGTTTTGAAGATGTTGAGTTTGATGTGTGCAGGACGTTTCCTATGAGTGAGTCTCTCCATGCTGGTCTTGCAGGTTCTGCTGCTGCTGTGCATAGCAGACTGGATGGTTCACTCCATGTGGCGCAGCGGCAAAGACCCCGACAGCTTCTCCATCCCCTACCTGACGGCTCTGGGGGACCTGCTGGGCACGGCGCTGCTGGCGCTCAGCTTCCACTTCCTGTGGCTCATCGGAGACCAGGACAGCGACGTGGGGGACTGAGCCGCCCACCACAGCTGGAGCACCCAGCTCCAGCGCCCTCTTGCTCTGATGGAACCCGGTTCCTTCTCTCACGGCCGCTTCACATTCTGGATGGAACTTTGTCCACAAGTTGGGATACAGACTCACTTCCTCTTCTGCCTTGTTTTCTGACATGTAAGAAGGCTTCATACTTTAAAGGCAGATTTTTGTTGGGTTTTTTGCAGCCATTCTGATCTGCATCTTTTGTACCAAAGTGTTTGAGTTTTATTTTGCTGGTTTTGTCAAAAGGAGAATAAAAACATGGCCTTCTTCTCATTGAGGAGCTGGAAATTTTGGAAATTTTGGGAACTTTTTTCGCACAAGTAAACCCAAAACGAACTCCCCATGAAAAGCCAAGACCGCAATGCCCGAAGGAGAGAGAGAACTTTAAAGCAGTGACTGTGGCCGAACCGACTGAAACCGGAACAGCCGGCTGACATCCTCCATTCAGTCTGTTTTAACGCACGCACACACACACCCACGCACACACACACTCACACACACACACACACACACACACGCATACAGCCTTCTGTTCCCACAGGTTCATTCTGCCTTCATCACATGGTTCCTAACATCAAGGTTTACGAATGTTTTAAAGAGTCCCTCCTCCGCCTGTTGCTGAGCAACTGCTGGTCAGCTGGCTGAATTAATATTTTTCTCACTTGCAAAAACAGCAGAATTATGCAGTTTAATATTTCTGCTTACAGAGGAGGAAGGTTAGTGACCCCAAACATCTTTTTGGTAATGCATGGTACTTTTACTAAAGGTTCTCATGATGCCTTGTGAAATATCACCTCTGCTCAGAATAAATATTTCATTTATTATCACATTATTAATCATTAGCATATGTAGCAGTCAGAAGAAGGAGCTGATGAAAGAGAAGAAATAAAAAGCTGTTTGTTGTTAAATTTCTTTTTATGCTTTAAATTCCATTAATTATATTCTATATTTTATTTTTGTCCATTTTATAAACTTTACAGTACCTGTTATTAAATTATGTGTTCTTATTTTTTGTGTCTAAGCAGGAAGAGGAAATACTCTAGTTTCTGTGGGGATGTTTGGATGCCAGTTCAGACATCCTTATTAATACAATCTGAGTTCATTTCACTTGGTTGGTTGGTATTTTTGAATAGTGCAGCTACATAGTTGTACAAAAAGCTCAAATTTGCTGTATTTTCAAACTGGATATTATTCTCTAGGGACACACTGATTATTTTTTCTTGGCCAATCACAATCTTTAAAACATCTGGCCTTTGATTCTGATTTTGGCCTATAAGTTATTATTTTTGTCTGTAAAGTCGCTAAATATAGTGACAGCCGCTGCGTGGTGGGTGGGCCTTCAGTCAGCCCTGTGTCACAGCAGAGCAACATGGACAGTAGCTGATTTTTAGATCTGTGCAAAGGTGGATAATATTGGTTTCTCGTGTATCGACTGATCTCCCAAAATAAAGAAAATCAGTTCCAATTGATCAGTTCACTCCCCATTATATTGACTCTAAGCCACTTTTGTGAAATTAACAACCCTGTTGGAACCAAAGTCACATAAGATATTTATGGAAGCGACATGACCATGTTTCATTCCTGTTGACCTCAAGTAGGTTATAGAAGATAAATAGCGTCTGTGTCAAAACAAAAGGGCGAATGGGTGAAATGAGCATTCCATGGTGGTAACGTTGCTGTTTCCATGGTGTTGACTTGCATACCAGCAAACAGCCGTCATTATTCAGCATAACCTGACTTAGCAGCAGTTTTGTGTTCTGTTCTCGTTTCCCAGGTGAGTTCCATCTTCAGTGGAGCTCACCTCTTTCAGGGAGCTGACTCTAGGTGACAGACATGAGGCTTTACAACACGATCAGCGGCTCTCTCAAGTTCACACAGCCTGCTGAAATGACTGCTGGAAAGATGTAAAGGAAATGGCAACGTCATTTTTGACTTTATTTGACTTTCATATTATAGGAATGAATGAGGAGCTAAATCTGCTGGATTTATTTCTGCAGCCTGCACATCCGCTTGGTCTCACTGTGAAGCTGAAAAATCAAACCCGTCTTCAGCCGTCTCGCAGACACAAGTGGTGTTTGGAGCGGTTTGTCATTTTAGCTGCCTTAAAAAAAAACCCAGTTCCATCTGAGGAAAGGTAACCCAAGAGCAGGACACTGTCACCACCTTGCTTCACTGATTTTTTTTTTCATTTTAGTCTTGCGTTATTTGAAAATATTGAAAAAGGTTTAGAGGATTTACCAGGGTGTCATCTCAGAAAGCAGCCATCTTAGCAGGTGTGTCTGAGCCGCTGTGTTCGTAAGAGCCTCTCCTCCTTCTCCATGTGCCTCTAGAGATTCACTAGCATGGTGTTCTCACTGCTGTCAATGCAAGTTTCTTTCTACTGCTTTTACTTTATTTCAAATGACACACCCACTGTTGGGAGTGAAATATGTTGAGTTAATTGTTACAATGATTTTCTTTCTTTTTTTAAATATTATTTTGGAATGAAAAATACAACTGTGCAATCCTGTTCTCTCTTCTAGCTCATATGGACCTAAATATTTTAAAATAAATGTTACTAATTTGAAAAGTGAATCGTTTCTGGGTGTTTTTGACTTCAAACGTTTAGTAATCAAGCAGCCAGCCTCTCATCATCTCCATGATCAAATGTGTGTGTGTGCGTGCGTGTGTGTGCGTGCGTGTGTGTGTGTGTGTGCCTGGAGGAGAGAAGCATCCTGAGAATTCTACAAGCAGCAGCTGAGAGCATGAATAATGAGCCAGAAGTTGTTTGAAATGGTTTCTCTTCTGTTTCTAAATTAGCTTCTAGATATGTTGTATGCTCTTTGATGGTCTCCATGACAACATGACTAGGCAGACACTCATTTCATTTTTTATTTATTTTTTTAAGAGTCAGATATTAGGTGTTGTGTCCAACAGCTAAAACGTGGAAAAATCAGGTTATCAAGATGGAGGCAGAAAAAAGGAGGAAGGGAAAGTAAAAAAAAAAAACTCATTGAAAGTGACTAATCCAAACCACTGTCAACTATAACCTGCCCAAACTTAAATCATTCATTTGACATATTTGGGTTCTAACACAGTCATATAGTTGTCCCAGAGCGGTGAGGTATGGACCAAACCACACCAACAATATGAGCAAATAATGACAGATTGCTTCAAATAAAGGAAGATTCAGAGAATAAACTCCAAAGGATGAGCAAAACAAAAAATATTTATTAAGTAAAAAAAAACTCATATTTTCTTTTACATTATTTACAAACCAAGAAATGCCTGAATTTCTTTGTCTGACAGTTGACAGTCACAGTAAGGTGACTATGAACAGAAGGATGATGGATTGTTTCTGTTTTTTAGTGCATTAAGATCCACCAGAACATTTTGACTCCATGGCTCAGCTATAAAATCCGAAACTTCGAGTTCCCCAAAATGACGCGTGCGTAGCCACTCCCAAGTTTAAGAGGCTTGTCACTCCAACGACTGAAGCAGTCCTAGAAATAATAAGATGAGGCACAAGATGCTTCTTTGACACTGCAGCCTTTGCCATCTGAGCTTGATGAGGTTTAACTTTGCAGGAAAGTCTCTGACTCACTGTGAAAGATCAACAGCTTCCACCACCAGCTTGTTCATTCTGATGCTGTTTTGAGCGTCTTTTGTGAAGTGACAGCATGTCCTGAGTTAAGCTATGCAGCTTTGGGACTCTCTAGACAGTTTACCCATTACAGAAATGCTCTGCATGTACAAGTTTCATTAGGGTGAAGTGAAGGTTTAGGCCTACGTTCTGCGGTGACCAAGTCAGGGCCTCAGGGACAGTAAAACTTAATCATCCGTCTGCCGCTGCTGAAGAAACCACCCTACACATGATTAATGGAACAGTGAGAGTCTGGGAGGTCCAGCAGTAGCCAGCAGCCTCCTGATGAAACAGCTCTGCGTCTCCCCAGGGTGCCACAGGAAACAATGGATGCTTCAGCTACAATATAATTAGAAACAGATTTCTCCAGAGGTCTCAGGCTCCTGTCAGTCAAGCGCAGGACTTCAGACTGGTAAAGTTATTGGCTCCAAAGAAAATAGAGGAAAATGGTCTTAAGTTGTTGGGAACTGCTGTAAAATATAAACTGCGCAGCTGAAACTGCCAGATTTCATACAGCCATTAGCTTGTGACATTGTGCTATGATGATGTTTTCTTTTGAAGAGGCAGTATTGTGTTTTCCAGCCACATAGTGCCATTTTATAGAACAAGCAAGTATTGTTGTCGTAAGTTGTATTAAAAAATGGTGTATATATCAAATATGACTTTGATATTTAATATCTTGAAATTGGGCCTCTGTCTCTTTAAAAACTCCATGTCTTTCTGTAACTTCGCCTTCATGAAGTGGTCACAACATGGCTGCTTCAACAATGTCTTTGCCAGCATTGAACTGAGAAGTAGCTCCTATGATGAGCTCAGCTAATGTGAAGTTCCTCCAGGTGTTTGCTAATTGTTGATGGCTAGTCTGAAGGAGCCGAGTGGTGGGAGTTTGGGGGAGGGAGGTGCTCTGTGACACAAAACCAGCTGGAAGGTTGCCATTTGAGATTAAAGGATTTCTCAAATCAAGGCTACACTCCAAGTATGTTTTTGATGAGGGAATAGCATCTAACATGATGCAAAGCTAACCCCCCCCCCCCCAAAAAAAAAAAAAAAAAAAACCTTATCTTTATATAACACTGCTCCTTTAACAGAATCATGAGTTTTGCCTTCCATAAAAATTAGGTCTTTTTTTGAAGGCCAGGGAGAATAAAATTATTGTAAAAAAATTTAAGAATTCATATGTTTTAGATCAATGAAGACTTTAATGTCAGACCCGACTGCTATCCCACCTGTAGAGTCAAAAACAGTTTAAAGAGAATCTATTCTGACTGAGCTGTTCAGCAAAGAAGTTTGGGCAAAAATGTAAAAATTTATTGGACACATAAACAAAAGGAACAACACCTGAAACTGTTGCAAAAGTTGGTTGTACAAACTCAAAGGGGTTGACCAAACATATACAAACTGCAAAGGAGCCAAGAGGTATGAATACTTTTCCAGGAAATTGTATCAACAGGTCAGTCCATTTAATCATTGGATTCTTGTCCTTCTGCTTTCCTTCTCACCACCAGGGTGCGCTGTGGTAGAGTCATGCTTGATGACATTTTCACTGCAGTAATTTCCTTCAAAATGTAAAATGTCCTGCAGATGAGCACACCTGTTTGGTTTAAGTGGGTTCATTTGCTTCCCAGCTTAAAATGTCATCGTTGGAATGAATTACTGTGTACTTTATGATGCTGGTGGAGCATCAATCAGACTCCACGTCCTGATTGGAAGATTTTCCTCTCAATGCATCAAAATTGATTAGCAGTGCTTAAATACAGAGACGTTGGTGTAGATTCTCAGGCATCCAAGACGTGATAATCTGAGGAGTTTTGATTGAAAGTATCTGACTTGTGAGTTGTAATCAGAAACAATTGCGCTGAAAGGACCGTAAAAATCACTAATGAGGCCATCAGAGTCACATGAATCTCTGGCTCTAACTTCAATTCAGACCTTGTTAGAAGATCCAATTCCTTAGGTTCAGACTCGGCAGTTCATTGACCCCTCAAGGACAAAAGACACTTGTTTGTAAAGAATAATGTGCACCTTTTGGACAGGGCAGATGGTGAGCGAAAGAAGCCATCAACACGAGTCATGAAAATCAGAGGTTCTTGAGAAGAAGGTCTAAACAAGTCCTATGGATAAAGCACAAAATTTGAATAAAATATGCACAAAATATACAAAGACCACCGCACAGGTAACTGAGACTAGAACTCATGCTGGCTCCTCAAAGGTGGACAATGAGAGACTGGGAAAGTGTTGCCTGGTCCGATGTGCCTTGTTTTCAGATGGCAGTTTCAGAATTCGGTGTGAACGGTTCAGGCAGTGGGAGGTGGTGTGACGATGTTGGGGATATTTTCTCGGTCCACTTCAGACCGCCACGCCTCAACTGAATTTAGCTTGAATAACATTCATTTCAGTTCAGTTCATTTCCTCTAATGGCCTCCATGTCCACCAGATCTGTATCTGATTTGCATCATAGACCTGCAGCCAGCAGGATGCTGTCAGCTCAGTGCAAACCAGAGTCTGAGAGACATTACAGATTGTGTGTTTGTAAGAATAAGGATGGTTCTGAAGCCAGATAATATTTCTACATTCTAAATTTTTGTTGACAGTGAAGTACATTTATCACTGGGTCTGTTTTTGACCTCAGCAGCAGCCGTAGAGAACCTGAATGAAAGACATCAACAGGATTCTTCTCATTCCAGTCGTGGGAAAAGCTGACAGCATCAGTGATGCTACGGAACATCATGTTCGCAGATTTAATGTCACAGTGCAGATTTCACACCACTGCTCTCAGCTCTGCTTGCAGGGTCCAGAAATAAAATCAACTTCATGTACAGAAAAAAAATCCCATGATATCTGTCTGAT